CACACTGAGGGGGTTGCCAAAGGATTGGGATGCTTAACAGCGAGTTAGGTAAGGTAATTTCCACTAGGAACAAGTCCAACTAATTTTGGTTTGGGTGGGCCCCCTTCTTTCCCCCAAGCAAACAATGAAAATAGACTACCTTTTTTCCCTGCGCTGTGCGGTGCCCGGCAGGATTGAGTGACAGCCTGAAGGCAAGAAGCCGCAACTGAAGGCGCGTGTGCATAGCAAACCGTACACCTCCCGAAGCAATGGCGAAAACAGGCAGTGGCCGCTTATAGACACCGCAAGGGCAGCTGCAGAACCTGTGCTGCAGCTTGCACAAAGAAAATGTTAGACCGTGGCGAAAAAAACAATCAGAAATGCTTTTGACAGACGAATGGGCTGTGCCCCGCCGACTCATACACCTTTGTAGGTATCACTTCAGACAGAACACATCAATTCCGCTTTCGCGGTGTATGGCCGCGGGAGCAGCCTCATACCAGACATTGCCACAAAACGTCACGCCACGGGATGCACTGCACAGTACCCGCGCAATCGCACTGAAATACCATGCCGAGCAAAACGTAACATATTGGAGCAGGGCCAGCACGCCTTGCACAATTGAGTAACCACTTGCCTCAAGCACCTGCGCATCACAAAATGCAGTACTGTGATCAGCACCACGCAAGAGCTATTGCCATACACGCATCTTGGCATGGACGGATGCTCGGCAAAGATCTGCATGCTAATCGATTCCTCAACTGCAATCACCGCGAGGTTGACCTCGTAAACTCCCAGAACAGGATCCATAGCACCTGAAGCCAGTCTCCATCCTCCCATAAAGACACAGAACAACTTTGCCACAAACTTCACGTCTACGTATTCCCGATGAACACACCTCCACCTGCGGATGGCAAAGGTTCCACTGCAGATGAAGCTTGCGCTGAAATCACGATTGCCCGACTTGCGCCAGAAGCTGCCACAATGAAAACATGCTGCACTGCACCCACCGTCCTGTAGCTTCGTGGTAGCGCCATTGTGTATTCCACTGACGAGAAAATTGCCAAATCCACAGGCGACATAACTGGCAAACTGAGGCCCATGAAAAAGAGGTCGTGCCCAAGGCCACCGTATTCTCCCGAATCACCACCTTCCACTGCGAAATGTACACCACGGACAGGTAGTACCACATGACAAACATCTTAGGCATAAACGACCATGGCAAGCCCGAAATCGGGCGCACCAGCACTACCAACTGGAAGGTTCTCGGGCCATAAGTGCTAACAATAGACACCAATAGTGTTGGCTGTTGTTTGCATGTTGACCATGCTGAAATCACATGTGCTAGCTGGTTTAGACGCTTCCCATGCGCGAAACATCCTTTTGTTTGGGATGTGTGTTTTTGGGGGGACCGTTTTGCGTGGTGGTTTTGGAGAAGGCTACAAGGGTGTGTTTTTGTTTGAGGCCCGGTGTTATCTTTCTCAGGAGACGAACGGGAAAGCAAAGTACACTTTGGGGCAAACCGTATCAAGCTTTTGGATCACTTGCAGTCCTGTCCGTTCGGCTCGCCTCTGAGCCCCCATCTGCCGGTGTAGTTCGGTCCAAGTATCTGGGCCATGGTCAATTTTGGGGCTCGGGACCAAGGACGAAACCTTCAATTCTATCCGCAAGAACCAGGGGGTTCCTTGAATTTTAGCAACACGCATGGCGCAAAGCACGCATTTTGACCGCGACTCCAGAGTGTTCCGCGCAGAAAAGGCGGTGTGGCAGCTGTGTTGATCAAGGCCAAGAGACACCTGGGCAGCGTGGTGTGGTCAAAGAGACCTCTTTGGGAGCCTTGACGTTTTGAACCGCCTTGTAAAGGGGGTCCGTTGAACTGGAGCATCCCTATTCTTGATAATCCCTCCCTGATATTGAAAACTTGTCATGAGAAAGCTGAGAAAGTGGCGGGGTGTTGACTTCACAAAAAAGGTCATTTCTACAACCAACCACGGGCTGATGTGAACTTGCGCGGAAGGGGCGTTTGCATCACCAAATCTAGCTGATCACATTGGAGGGCCCACTTCGAGCGCTTCAGCTTATCTGCCATCAAAGCAGCCAGGAATCACTTGGATGTTGTAGAGATTGGCCATGGGTTGGTTGGTTGGTTGGTTGGTTGGTTGGTTGGTGGGTTGGGTTGAGTTGGGTTGGCCAGATCAGTTGGTCAGTCGGTCGGTCGGTCGGTCGGTCGGTCGGTCGGTTGGTCGGTTGGTTGGTTGGTTGGTTGGTGGGTTGGTGAGTTGGTGGTGGCTTGGTGGCTTGGTGGCTTGGTGGCTTGGTGGCTTGGTGGCTTGGTGGCTTGGTGGCTTGGTGGCTTGGTGGCTTGGTGGCTTGGTGGCTTGGTGGCTTGGTGGCTTGGTGGCTTGGTGGCTTGGTGGCTTGGTGGCTTGGTTGGTTGTAATAAGACGTCCTGATCAAATGGCTTGGATTCTTTGAGGTGAAATCACGGGGCGCTTTTTGTCGAGTGTGCTTGTATCAGCGGGCCAGATGTCGGGTGCAAGGCAAACATCGCACGAGTCTGGCTCGAGTGTAGTCTCGCCAGTTGACCCTTCTCATGAGCAGCTGAATACATTATTGGGTCAGCAAGTTTGGGAAGGACATGGGGGTACCACCCGAAGTACCTGGAACACCGAGAAACCACGCAGGTGTCCCATGTCCGTTTCGTGAACAAGCAACACTCCCATAGCACTGCACAAAAGAGCAAGCATAGAAAGACCAGTGAGACCAAGCTATGGTTAGCAGACGGGATACACCATCAAACATATCATGTCAAATGTGAATGTCTTGTCAAATCCATCATGGATACATGTTTTTGAGAAGGTGCTGCTTTGAAGGGAAGCCAAGTGGAAATCGCACGACACACGGTTGAGTGTAGGGCTATCGCATGCCTTCCACAAAAAGTGGCTGCGCTGAAGACTCCGCAGATTCCTATCTGCCCCGTTTCTGCAGTTAACCAAGGGAAGCTATTCAACACCTAGTCAAAATTGGCTTACTTTTGGGAGACTTCTCCAGAACCTCCAGTCAGCTTTAGAGAAAAAGGAACACCCTTTTCGTGGCTGCCCTCTTCACTACACACACACACACAACGGCTTTTTTCCCGCTCCGATTGGTTCGGACGATCTCTCGCTTTGGTGCCATGGCAAGCGAGGAGGGGAAAGAGGGGTTGGGGGGCGGAAGCCATCTCAGATCCAGCTTGCCCTTCAGCCCGTGTTTCCTTTACCAGTTGGTTTGGTCCAGTTTGGCAACTGACATTTTAAGAGTTTCTCATTCTTTGTGGGCCTGTTCAAGCATGGTTTCTTGAAGGAAGCCAAAAGGAAGCCAAAAGGCTGTCATTTAAGGGCTCCAATGCCAAATCCTTTAGGTTTCCACGCACGGATGGCTTCGTGGGCTATGATGCCTTTTCTGCAGTTTGTCCCTTGGGGTGTGCGTTTGCAAAAGTTGGGCTTGGAGCCCGACAAAAAACCTGCTCGGCATTGGTGACCCTTGCCTCCCTTCTGATTTCTTCCTATGTGCCTCACTCAGTTGCACAAGCTCTCACGGGATTTTGATTTTCCTGCCCCAGCTGAGTGATATTCCGTGGTCAAATCATTCAGGGATTACGCAGTATATATGACTACAATATATATGTATATATATATATCATACATATATATATATATATATATATATATTTGTGTATATATCATATATATATACATCATATTATTCATATATACATATTGTATACACATGTGCCCTTCTGGTTTTGCTTCAACTTCCAACACCGGAGGGTCCATTTTCCCCATTTTCGGTCGCCAAATCGCTTTGCGCAGGCAGCGGAGCGCCGGGGCCCTCGTTGGTTTGCGTTCCACGGTATGTGTCTTAAGCTGTTTCTTGTCCGCAGCCGCTTTCAATGGGAGGCTGCAAAGAACAACGCTTGTGGCTAATGTATCTGGGGTCGGAACTGGTCTTTTAGCATTTGTTGTCACCCCTCCCTAAAACTGGCTACAGAACCAAACAAAGGGCTCAACAAATCCAAAACACACACACACACAGAAACAACGGTTCGATCGGCTGAAGTTAGTGAAGAAAACAATGCACTTCAATCAAACGAACTCTGCCTCCCGGTCTTCAATTATTCCTGTCGCAATGCACGGCAAATAACGCCCCTGAAGCCTCCCGCTTCCGACCGAGACCCGACTCGCAACTTCAAATGTCGCCTGCAAACCAACCACTCCGGCTCCTCGCACCCACGGGTGCCGCCGAACAATGACAATGACAAGCTGTGCTGTTGCACCGCCTTTTTTTTCTCGGACCGCAAATCTTCTGGACATCGGACCCGAACAAATAGCGTCAGCCTCCAGGTGCTGGGTGTTTGAATTGGTGCTGTGGAGGTTACGTGGTACGGGGTTTCCACAGCAAACACGAATTCAAAACCCCACACCACCAATCCAAAAAAACCACCAAGAATTGGGTTACTTACAGAGGTTATCTTGCAGACTCAAAGCCCTAAAAAACCCAAGACCCGAAGCAAGCTGTGGGACATTTTAACATCCTTGGTTTGACCGAAATTACCAGTCAACCTTTATGGTGAACATGTCAGTTCCTCCAATTCGCTAACACTGCAAATGGTCCTTTGCTTAGGGTTTCCTCTATGGTAGGTGAATCATGTTACCGATTGATTTCTTGTTTTGCGTCGGCGTCTTTGCGGTTCATGAACCTGAGCCCAGGGCAGAAGAAACGGGCTGGGGAAGTTGGGCAGACGGCATTGGGCGAAAAGAACAAGCATGCGACCTAAGATTCTTAAAGAGCGGTCCCTTTTGCAGTTTTCAAAAGTAGCATTTCATGTGATTTGTCCGCTGAGGTTCGGGTGAAGACTCGCCTCTTGGCAAGACGGTTGCAGGGCTCTTGTTTCAACTTCTAGCCTTTTCCTTGCAAGAAACTATTCACACTAGCCAGTGACAAGCAATTCGTATTGCAGGAGGTTACGTAGATTGACCTACCCAGACAAACACGGCATACTCCGTATCTGGCTTGATCAGGCCATTGGTGCATGTGCATTTGTCTACTCATGGAGATGGAAATCCCACTTCGTCAAGGGCATTTTCAGGCGGGGTTTGGAGGCATAGTAGATATCCCTGCAGTGCGTGCTTTGTTTGAATGTTTGCGATTCGCTAAATAGTGCAAAATCTGAGGTAGTTGCCGAGAGTTGGAGAGATTCTTTCTTCCCTGACCACGTCCCACCTGCCACCGCATGGGTATTCTTTGCATTGATTTGACATGCCGACATCGTTTCATGGAAAAAAACCCACTGCAGTTTGTGGCGACGTTGCGTGTCTTCTGTGGGGACAGTGCTGAAAGTGAACACAAAGCTCCAACAGAAGCGCCATCCTTTTTGAGCTTTCGGCTCGGCCTCCTTTTGGGGGGGCGATCCCTTTTTCAAGTTGTGATTTTCCAGAGTGGGATTCCCAGACGCTACACCCAAACAAAGGACACTTAAAGGCCTTTCCAGCAACCCATCTACCCAGGTGGTTTGTTTGTAACAAGGTTTGACTATTTGCTAAGTCAGATGAATGTTGACTTTGGTTAGTGTCAACATAGTGTGACCCCAAAATGGTTGCTTTCCTTTTTGTCTTCCTTGAAACCAACCTGAAAGGGGACCCCTCAACAACAGCACATGCACACACACACACACCCATATACATGTATACACTAAATGTATACATGCAATAATTCCCATGTGCATATATATATATATATATTTTATATATGTATATATATGTATATATATGTATATATATATTTATACACCCATTTCCGTGAGGTTTGGACCTCGAACTTCGGGGGAGCTTCGCTTGGCTCCAAGGTCCGGCTCCGTGCCCTACGGCGATGGCCCAGACGCTCGCATGTCGAGGTTGGTTTCAACTGCGGTCTCGCAGGGTTTTCGATTGTCCCCTTTTGGGGGGTTTTAAAACATCATCGTTTTGGAGCCAATCTGCTTTGAGCCGCGTTGTGGTGGGCGTAATTATGTTCAAGGGGAAAACTTAGGGAGCCCTCCCTCCAGCAGGTGAAATGGGGTTGTGCACTTCCTGGGGTCAGCAGGCGTCATTGAGGGGGGCGTGAATAAGGTGAATTTCTCACCACCTGTGCTGGGGAGACAATGTCAGTGACAAACAAAAAGTCTGGCCTCTTTCTGGCCAACCCACTCAGGACTGGAGAAATACGGTTTGCCAAAGGTAGGCTTTTTTAGGTGGGGGCCCTCATATGTTCTTTTTCATGTTTCTTTCTTTCAACAAGAACTACAAAAACCACCCACGCGATATGCAAACCCTTTGGCCCAGTGTTGGGTTTTTTTCTCACAAAATGCAGGGGAACCTCAACAAATCAAGAGAACAGCAAGCGAAGTAGGTCCCTCTTAACGTGTCCTTCTTTGTTTTGTGTGGGAAAAGGTCCGAATGGCCGAGGAGTATTGGGACCTGAGATACAAAGTTGACTCGGAGCCCTTCGATTGGCTGCGGGACTTCTCCGAGCTGAAGGCCCACATCGAAGCCTGCTGCCCCCGTTCGGGGGGCCAGGGCCTCATGTGCGCTCCCAGTCCTCCACTTTGGACCTAAGGTGGCAGAAAGGAAGTCGCCAGTCAATTGCAGTGACTCTGGGTCCAAGTCCGAGGGGCCAGCTATGCGGTTATGCACGCGCTATTTTAGGTTCATGTCCCTGCCAACCTTGCCGTGGTTTGCTGCTGTCTGAAAGAGGTCTCATTCCTTGGAGCCAAGAAGGATGCAAATAGGGATCATGATCTCATTTGTTTTGAGACTAATGGAAACTCTAATGCAAGGGGCTAAGATTATTCTCCCACGTTCATAGACCCATTTGAGTGGTATCCTTCAGGTTGGCTTCCTGCCGGCGAGCTTCGGTGGTGTGTAGGTTGAGGCAAGCTTTGGTCAGCACTGCGACGATCGACGGGAGAAGAAACCAGTTATCCCGAACCAGAATGGCCAAGTACCCTTCGAGGATGTTTTTTTTTGCGATTAACGGGGGTTGACGTCCCTCCTTAGGCACTGCGTCTCTTAGGGAGCCTTAATTTTGGGGGTTTCGGTTTATTGGAAGCGCGACTCCTGTGGATGCAACCAAACAGAGTGTCAAATGAATACGACCCAAGCATGTGTGACGTCCGGCACCTGAGTGCCCGGCATTTGTCGTGCCTTTGTCGCGCAGCCAAGCTGGTCTTCCCGGTGGCTGAACGAGGGGCCATATCCGCTGGGCCATGATCCGTTTTGGGGTCATCCCTTATTGGTTAGGATCCCTTGGAAGTGGACCAAAAAGCGGTGCGGGCCGAGATATCCTGAACGTCGGCTGCGGGAATAGCCTCCTCTCAGAGGAGATGCATCTCGGCTGAGCTGAAGTCCGGGGGAAGGGGGGGAGGGGATGGGTTGGCTGCAGAGTCGGGTGTCTTCGGCGTCTTTCTTCTACTCAAAGCACCGTATCCATCATCCAAACAGCCTTGGGGTTTCCCGTGGACCCGTGAACTGCACGGAAGGTTGGGAATAAGCAAATTTCTGAAGGGGTGCCCCGTGGTCAAGTCATTAGGTCTGATCAGGAAGCGACTGGCGGGGTCTGGGGGGGGGGGGGAATGTGCAGACTGATCTGCGGGGGTGGGTCGCAGGCATGAAGGGATGCCTCATTTCCAAGAACCTGGTTTGGGCAAGGATACCTTTCCTTTGGATGCATTCCTCGTTGCGGGTTGGTGGAATATACTGACTGAAAGAAGCGAAATAAATCCGAAGGTTTGATCCCAGAGAGCGGTTCGATCGCCCGGAAGGTGGCTCTCAGCAAGAGGAGCCTCTTTCAACGCTGGTTTTAAAAGGGAATTTTAAAGGACAGGCACACATGGAGCCCGCCTCCTTTGAGAAGCACCTTCATTTAGACAAAAGTCGAGGTGTTTTAGCTTGACTCTGTCTGACCCAAACCTTCGAAAGACCTGTTGTTGAACTGGGTCGTTGGAAGAGCCTGCTGTTTGGTGGGTCAATATGGGGGCCAGGTGAACTTCGTCGGGACGATGCTGATTGCAAGGGAACTATCCCTTGTAACAACTAGTAACTCCTCTGAACCACAAAGTAAGTTGATCATCCAAGAAGGGGTCCCCTGGATGTTCAACCTTATCCCCTGATAATCTCACTAATCATGCTTAGGACCTTAGGCTGCTCATCCAAGGGAAGACACACCCATCTTGGGGTTTCGCCTGAGGTATGATAATGGCTACCACAACATCGTGAACATCGACTGCTCCTCCGTGGTGATCGCGCTGATGAAGGAGCGGAATGCTTCCAGGCCGACGGCTCGTGCTTTTTGGTCGGAGCGCCGCTGACCGAGTCTTTCTGGTTGTTCAAGCAACCTTCAAAGTTGGTTCCGTCTTTCGGAACGTATGATTTTGGCGGGATGTTGTTCAAGACCAGGGAGGTGGAACAACGACTGAGAGGACTGAGAGAACAGAACAGCAACTGACAGAATAAAGCGGAACAGCGCCTTCTCTCTTGCATTTCGGCGTCAGCTTGAAATTTACTTGTTTAGTGCCTGGCAACGAGACCCGGATTCAAGGCTGCGGACCGCTGCCACAGTTGTCAGCAAATGCCCCAGATAAGCGAAGTTCGCAAGGGTGATTTGGGGTTCATGTGCCCTAGGTCATCCCTCTTTACTACAGTTCCAATGTCCTACATACAAGGATTGCATATGGGCACTCCAGAATACCCATGAGCCGGGTGGTAGGCAACTTGTGGGAAAGGGATCTCCTTAGAGCAGGTGACCTTGAACATTCTCTGTAGCTGCGGCTTAGGCTTCTCAATTGCTCTCTCTGGCACTCTCAACATAGGAAAAACATATTGGATGCTGAAAGTTGCAATGGACACCTCTGGGAGGTATGGAGAAAGGACACCTCCCCAAAAAGGATTGGGCAACAGGACACGACGGTTTTGCGCGGGCTTTCCATTGAAATCAACCGTACATCCATTCTTCCCTCGCTTTTGTGGGTTGAACTCCTGTCTCTGCATGAATGAAATTGAGATAGCATTTGACTTGACACTTTGTGGGTTCGCAGGCTCGCAACATGCTTGAGTGTCAATCTAGTAAGCTGGTGTTCAATGTCTGGGTTCTTCCCTCCTCCCAACCACAGCCATCCACAAACCCTGGTAACTGGAGGGTTTCTCTGGTTCCCTACTCTACTTGCAATACGTAGGGCATCCACCGCTACAGCCTATCTTCTCAATCGGCTCCCCTCTCCGACGAGTCACGGGCCTTAACGATGTCCAGGCACGCCGTGTTGCCAGCTCAAAGCGACCAATCATTGGCCAAACAAACAAGCAAGCTTGCAGAGACAGAGAGAGAGAGACAGAGACAGGCAGACCAACGAATAAACAAACAAGCAAGGATGCACGCACATAAGCAAACAAACAAAGACACAAACAATCGAGCGAGCGACCGGGCCATCGCACAAGGAAGAAGCTACTCGTAGCAACAGGCAATCCCTCAAGCAAGCAAACATCCCAAACACATCCCAGCGAACAAGCATAACTTTCCCTTGAACCGAAAACAAGCGCCGATCATGTTTCTGGAAGTCACGAGCCGTTTGCCGCGGCCTTTGCTTCGGCAATTCATTCGCGGTTTGCTTCCCAGGAAGTCCCCAACTACATGTCACCCACCTAGAAAAGGGGGACCCTTTGAAGGGAGAATCAGAGTGTTTCCGCCAACCCGGTTGAACAACGGGTCTTCGGAAGGTTTGGGGCAATTGACCGAAGTTTAGTTGGAAGTGATTAATCCACTTGCAATTCACGCGTGTTGGAAGAAGCAAAACGGGGCAAGCGCCACAGGCCCAGCATGGCGTGGCAGGAGATGGATGCCCTCGACGCTCAGAATTTCGAAGGTTTGGGCCATCTGTCCCGTCTGTTGAGTTAACTCAAACGCAGAGGTTGTGCTTGTACACGAAAGCTGGAAGGCCGAGGTCAAACCACCCGAAGGGGGTTACAAGGGCACATGAACCCTTTGCACAAATTTGAGTTTTGGACAACTTGTTTTGAGGGTTCCTACTGAGGGTTCCATGACCATGTCTGACACAGGGATTTCTGGCCATGGCACAGACTAAGCATTCAAATTTGGTGGGGAGTTTCGCCCATCAAAGGCCATAAAGCATATGCCATTTGAGGTGTGTGTGTGTGTGTGTGTGTGTGTGTCTGAGTGTGTCTCAGAATTTCCCTTTGGCCACAAGAGTGCGTACATGCTTGGATGTTCGACTTACTTCGTAGGTTATGACTCTGGTTAGTGCAGAAAGCTAAGGAGCCCTCTGAGCCCTAGACCTGAAAACGCCAAACACATTTACGCCTTGGTGCATGTTCTTGCGTTGGATTTCCTTCGGGTAGAACTTCGGCGAGGTTTCCTAGGGTTTCCCTTTTCAATAATCATTTGTCCGACCTTATTCGCCAATGTCGGAGCCATGGCCAGCTTCGGCAACAAAAATGCCAACCCTAACAGCTCCCCCTTTTGAGCAGCTTCGACACATGGCAAAGTTGGAACCCAAACTGGTCTACCAAAAAAACAAAACACAAGAAGGGCCACACCATCTCCGTAGCAATTATTAAGAGTGTCCTTCTTGTCCCCTTGTCCAATGGAGGTTTGCCTACTTCAGAAGAATCCAAAGAGAACAATATGGCTAAAGCCCCGTCTGCTTGGGGGTTAGCAGGAGGGTCATCAACCCCTTAATAGGAAGTTAGGCAACTCATGTAAGGGTTGCCCTTGAGGGAACCTGACGATTGCCGACATTTTGAGAGTTTCACCACGCTTTCAAGGGCAGGGGAACGAAAGGGGTGCCACACGTTTTGCGCCTCAAGGACCCATACCCACATCAAAAGAAACTACCGATGTAGAGGTCTTGTGAGCAGCACAGATCCATGGATTTGCCCAAGAAGGGCTCTAAAAAGGGTGCTCATCGGATAAAATCGGTGCGATCCGAGGAGATGACCTTCGAGGAGAACAGCTTCGACCTCATCCTGGACAAGAGCACCATGGACACGTTCGCCTGTTCCGAGGCCGACTGACTCGTTCAACACGGCAGCCAGGCTACCGAACTCCGGTGAATGGCCCGGAACCAAAGGTTTGGTTTATACATGTTGTAAGGAGGTTTGGCTTGCATACGGAGGTTGGTTTATAGATGGGTTTGGCTTATTTTCCCAGTCCGTCCGTTTTTTAGCTTTTCATTGGAGGGTTGCCTGAAATCAACCAAAGACAGGGGGCCCAATCTTCCCAGAAAAGTCCACTGGAGGTCTGGGACCCGGGCAACTCCAAACCCTTACAAAGGATGGCTGAAGAAAAAGACGGAGATGGGGTACCACCCGGCTTTCAAACTTGTCAGGTTCGGCTGCGTTGGTTTCAACAGTCAGACCCTAGTTCTTTTCAAAAGGAAAAAACACCAACAAAGATACTGCAGCAATCGTGTTGAAACCGTTGCTTTTGTGCCCACAATTAGTCAATTAGTTTTGGACACAATCGCTTCAATTCATTGGCTCAAACATCTTTGACCGAGGGCTTGCCCAACCCATGGGCTCGGGTCTCATGATACTCAGGGAGGTTAATTGCTTAGAGGGGGACATTCCGATGTTCGCTTATGTGGTGTTGTCGCTAGGATTTGCCTTTTGAGCGTTCCCTTTTACTCATGCAAAAAGCATGACCAAGCCGGGGTCTTCCACCAACAAACCAGGGTCGAACCTACTTTAACAGGGTGCAAACAAGTTTGCAGCTTTCTTTTCAGAAATTTCGTGCAGACAGATGGCGTTGCTTGTTGTGTTGTCCTTGTGGCCAGGAACTTGCACAGAACATCATCACCTACCTCATGGAGGCATGGCTATGTGTGACTCAAAAGCCTGACCTGATTCGGTACCCAAGGGAGCCATCACAAAATTAGCCTCAGGTTCGTCCGGACAAACAAAATGCTAACCCGAGGACCCCCTCCTGAAATGATTGACCTCCCCACTAAAACGGACACCGTGCCTGAATAGTTTGGTGCTACGGATAGAACCACACTTAGCATTATTGAGCTTATTTACCACTGAGTAAGTGGAATGGCCATCCGAGTAAGGGAGGTGGGGTGCCCGACCCATTGTTGCCGTTGATGCAAGCCCATGCCCTCTGATTTGAACTGGCGTCCTGGTCGCCGTTTACTTGGCTTCGTTGAGTCCAGATCAGGTGACGAACTGAAGGACATGGGGGGCAAGGTCACACAAAATTTAATAGAGCACCAGCAGGAGATGGCCTCAACTTCCCCGTCCCTTCATAAGAGAACGCCTGGTGAGCCTGAACCATTCTGCCCCAGGTTGCACGACTTTAGCCCAACCCCCTGTTCAGCCAATGTTTGAATCGAGCATAATCTTAAACCTCCTTTTGCTTTGAGGTTCGACCTTCAGGAAATTTGACTGGAAGTCCGGGTGTTTTAGCGTGTCCTACACATATTCGCGGTTATTTCCAGTTGGTTCCGATTTTGTGAGAACTCCCAACTACACATTTTCACACCGTCAGGTCTCGCGAGTGTTGCGCACCGGGGGCACCTTCCTGGTGATTTCCTACGGCCCGCCGGAGACGCGGCTGGCGACCCGGCGCTAACTCGGTGTCCAGCAGTGTGAGCACCTCTTGGAGTCACGGGGCAGGTTGGCATCTCTTTTGAATTCATGGAGAGGGAAGGGTTCCACGGGTTGCAGTTGGGGATATTTCCGTTTTTTTGTTGGTCTTCATTTGTTGGGTGCTATTTTTTGTAGGAGCTCGTCTCATCTGTTGGTGAGTCACGTGGAAGCCAAGCGGTGCCTTCTTCTGAGGACTTTCTGAAGCTCTCGCACCTGAAGCTGGAGGACTGATTTGTATCCTAGGTCCCACTCCACTGCAGATCAACCTGGCACCCAAGAAGGGGGGGTCAGAAGGGGGATTGGATCGGGTTGTGTGGCCCCTGAATAGGGGAGCAATCCCGAGGGCCGTGCCAAGGGCGGCTCCCTTTTCAGCGGTTTCATTTCTTTCAGGATTGACCAACTAGCCCCTCCCGACATAGGATCCAACCCCCAACATTTCCCCCACTGGTTTCCTTCAAACGAGGCCTCAATAAGGCGGCACGCCAGGCGCCAGGGTGATAAGAGGGAACAGGGAAGGATGCGGTTGGAATCCTACGATCTCAAGGGGAGATGTTGGCCTTGGACTCAAAGGCCTTGTTTGACTTCGGCCAAAGGGTTGCTGTTGAAGGGCCTCGAGGCCTCAAGGAAAGGCCCTGACTTCATTAGAATTAGTCCTACACGCTCGCGCGAGGTGGATGTGATCACCCTGCCGGCTAAAGAGGGGAAGAAGGAGCACTACATGTACAGGCTGATCCCGGAAAGTGAACTTGGCTCCATTTCAGCCACCTAAACAGGGACACATTACTTACACGGTTGAAGCAGGTTCTTCCACCAACAACCAACAGTCCAGTGGTACCTGGCCCTTTCAAAGGTTTGGCATCCTTTTCAAGTGGCTCCTTTTGGCCCCTTGCAGGTGTGCATTTTCCGGCATCCTGCCATTTCCCCTCCCCCCTTTCTCCCAGAGGTGCGGTTGGGATGTGGAAAGGTGTGCTCGTATCCTTAAACTTTACAAAGGTATGTGTCGGACAACTAGGGACTAGGGACCCTTGTTCCTTGTTCTGGCCCATTTTGAAAGGAAAGTCAAAGGTCCCCAATGCCGATTCATGCCCATATGGGCATGTGTCAAAATAGGGGACCCAACATGGTTGTCCTTTTGTGGACACCTACCTGAAAAGGGTACCCTCCAAACCACCCAGCCATGTAGATGTTTTGGGATTAAGGCAGCAGGGGATTCACTGCCTCTAGTTTTTCCGTGCGAACCTGCGAACGCGCTCGCAGGTGTACCAAGCAGCAGCACGTGAAGAAACGCCTTCCGGCAAGCTGAGATGAGCTCGCCCAAGTCAAAATTCAGGTCCTGAGCGCAAACAGGTTGAGGTGGATTCAGCAGCAACCCAGTGATACGCATTGCTTTGGGTGGTTTTCTGTGATCATATTGACCCCGGATTGATAAACCTGTCGGCTCAAGCCGGGAGTTTCCCTTTGAAGTGATCCCGATTCCCCCTAAATTGGGACACCGCCCCTTTCCCCACAAATTCAACCAAGCATGAATTATTTCTGGGTTCCCGTGGCAAGGTTTGCCATTTGGGCGTTTGATTTTTCCAGAAAGGGGGTGGTTTCCCAACTATAGTCCAACGCCTAGTTTCATTTCCGGGAATTCACATCGGCCCAGTCATCTCACTTGATGTGGGCTTCAAGATGCGAGCCAGTCAAGACCCCCCCAAGCAAGGGTGGGTTGTGAGCCATTCATTCTACGCTTCTTGGACAGATCCCTTTTCAGGAGTATTTCGCGGTATTCCTTTTGTGATAGTCTTTCCCTTCTCGCAAAAGACCCAACCGGAGGCCAGAAAACAACAGTGGCGGACAGGGGTGAGGGCGGCGGAGGTCGGGAAGTTCTGAATGGACCTCGCAGACCGCTTCCGGTGTGCCCCTTCTGGCTTGCAGCTTGCCGGTACTGGGCATTCCGGGCACGCGGAGCTCGGCCCAGGTGCGGTGGAGATGGGGGGGTGGGAGCAGTTTCCATGCGTGTTTTGGGTGCCTGCAGCCGGATCCCCTGGAAGGTCATTTGCTCTCAAAAGGCCCCCCCCCTGCATCCTCCACCGGGAAGAAAGCCATGAAATTGTGGGATTGGGTTCTGGTTCCCTTCAGAATCAAGATGCCGAGATGCAACAAGTAGGGGCTGAAGAAGTCCCCCAATCTTTGGCACATATTCTTTCAGACCCTCAGGCCTCCGCCATGGACGAGGAGATTCAGGAGGTGGCCTCCGGGGACAGATGGGTCCACTGGTCGGGCTTGGATCGGATGCTCCACGGGTTGGTGGCGACATTTGTTGAGTTTCAACCAAGCAACTTGGCATCCCAAATGGAAATGCCACTATGGAAGGTTGTTTAAACAATGGTGGTTAAAATGTTTATACAGTTACAAGTTGACAAGGAGTGCAATCGCATACCCTGGGGGCCTGCGGGGTGGTGGGGTGTGTGGGATGTTGCAGGGTTTGCCTTCGACAAACCGAAAGGACCCAGTTGCCTGAGGTTGCTCGTGCTCAGCGCTCTCCGTCGCTTCAAATGGTTGCCCCCGCAACGCGACCACTCGACCGTACCCTTCAAAATGTGTGTTACAAAAAACACGTCGGAGAACGGCTACCCCATTCAACAAAAACACCAACACTTTTGTTTTGAATGTTCCGCCTGGCAAGCAGGCAAATGTCTATCTGAGCGTTGCATGCCTTTGTTTCAAGTTTCCATGTTTATGCAATCCTTTGGCCGCAAGGTGCGCGACAATTTCTATGTCGGCAACTATGTGAAGGCGTGCTGGGACCAAACTTCCCACCGAACTTGCGGCCAAATTGTGCGGCCTCAACGATTTGGATCCTGGGGGTCTTTGAGGGAGCCGTTTGATTTGATCAAGTGACCTCCTGTACCTTGCGAACCCTGTATTCCGCAGTTGGACACACTGTGTTTGGGGAAGAAAGCCCATCTTCCCAAGAGGGGGGCAACTTACATGCAACCTACAAACAGAGGGGTTTTGGTTCCCATGGCAACAGGACCACTCGACTTGTTCTGCAGCGGCACAACCATGGAAACATGACATGGTGCCTGCAACAGGGTGTCCTCAAGAAAGTTTGTCTACGGATAGCTTCTAGGTTTCATCAGTCTCCATATGTACTGCGCAGACCAGACCCGCAAGCAGAGCTGCTCAATTTAAAGCCGTAGTTTCTATAGACATACTCAACTCTCAAACACTTATTTGCCATTTGGATTAACGACCCGGAGACCAAAGATTTCAGACGAGCACAACTGCCCTCGCCTTCCGTGCAAAACGAGTTGACCTATTTGTGTGATGGCTACTTGGGCTCAACAGGGATGGCTGTGAATCCCTGAATAGAATTGTTAGGCAACCATGATAAGGGGTCCGAATCAGAATTGACCGTGGCACATGGTTTTGACCCTAACTGTACTCGCTTTTTTGGAGGTTGGGGGAAGCCGGGAAGTTGAAGTTTAGTGGGAATAGTTCTAGCTACCTGTTGAAAACAGAGCCAATGTATGGGTCACTCGATTCAACACAGCCCTTCAAGACCAAGGCTCCGCTTGGACCCTTGTTACAGCCAGAAGGCAGTGGTGCACTTTTTGTTGTCCACTTTTGTTTGGGAGGCGTCCCATAAGTTGCCAAGAAACATGGGAGCCCTGGGTTTACATTGGTGGTGGCTTGGTGGGCCGCGGGCCCATTCCCCTCACCCGGAACGGAGCAATGGAGCTGGGCAAAGAGATGGGCATCCGCCGCCATTCCAGTTACAACCAAGTCATCCATGTGGTGCTTCAGGAACAGGAGGAAGCGGAGGGCTTTTGTGAGAGGCTAAAAACCATATCAATGCCCGCAAAGGCTGCTTGCGCCTTCCCCTTCGCTTGTGTCAGTGTCTCTACAAAATGAACAGGCAGAATTGGATTGGTGTCCTTCGCGGTTCCAACATTCTACCCTTGGAGTGGCAGTTGAAGCGCAGGCCATGAACCTCTGCGAGTCCCTGAAGGGCTCTAGCGAGCTCACGCAGGGCGAGCTCGGAAGCCAAGAAGCGAAAGGTCCAAAGGTTTACGGGTTTATACCACCATTGTTCAAACAACCTGGACCATTCGGTTTTGGTCAACCTTTGATTGCAACGAAGTCAATTTCAGAGGTTGTCGGCTCATTTGTGTCGAAAGGAGTCAAACCGGAATCATGGAGCCTGAATCGTGTGCCCAGATGAACCTAGAATATCCAAGTAGAATTCCGAAGTCGAATATCACAATATATATATATATATACATGTTTCAGGTTCTAGGTTCCGCCCCACTGTGAGGTGGTTGTGGGTGGGGCTGGTTAAGGGTTGTTGAGGGTTGGTTGAGGGTTGGTTGGGCTGGTTTAGGGTTGGTTTAGAGTGAGTTTAGGCTGGAGTTAGCTGAAGGGCGTAGACTCGAGTTAGCGTGAGGACCGGGGATGCCGGGATGCCCGCAGGATGCTGGGCTGGGCGCGGGAGGGCGGCGGGCTAGCGAACTTGGAACTGAGAACGCACACACACACACACCCACACACACACACACACACACACCCACACACACCACACACACACCACACACACACCCACACACACCCACACACACACACCCACACACACCCACACACACACCCACACACACACACACACCCACACACACACACACCCACACACACCCACACACACACCCACACCACACACCCACACACCCACACACCCACACACATAAACCCACAAACCCACACACCCACACACCCGCGCACTACGCGCCACACTGCCGCACACGCGCGCACACCGCGCAACGACGCGAAGCACAACGACACGCGCACCAAACACGCGCACCACACGGCCACACCACCCCACGCGCAAAACAACGCGCACACACCGCACAAACACGCGCACAACACAGACACAACATACGCACGCACGCGCACACACACACCACACACAACACACACACCACCACACACACACACACACACACACACTCACACACACACACAAAATCACACACACAACCAAACACACACACACCCAAATAAACCAACACACCCACACACAACAGAAACAAACACAACACACACAACCCACCCACGCGCACAACTGCACGCACGCACGCAAACCACCACAGCACGCACCACGCACGCACGCACGCACGCACGCACCACGCACCGCACGCACGCACGCAAACGCACGCCACGCCCACGCGCAACGCAAACGCACGCACGCACGCACGCACGCACGCACGCACAGCACGCACGCACGCACGCAACAGCACCGCACCAATCCCGCACCGCTACGCACGCACGCACGCACCACCACCGCACGCCGCACGCGCGCAAGCCGCGCCAGCGCGCGCGCGCAGCATCCCGCTAGCCCCCACACACACACGCACGCGCAACGCGCACGCTCCCCAACCTGCGCACAAGCGCACGCGCACAGCGCACGCGCACAACGCCCAAAAATCCCCTACACTATGCCCACGCGCACGCGCACAAGCGCACGCGGCACGCGCACGGACACGCGCTACCGCACGCCACGCGCCACAAGCGCACTAAGCGCAACCGCACCATATGCGCACAAACGCACGCCACGGCAAAACGACACGCGCACCTGCGCACGCGCACGCGCACGCGCGCACAAAACCACGCCACCCGGCGCACCCCCGCGCACACTCGCACACGCACATTAAACCGCTGCACCGTTTCCGCGCAAACGCGCACCAAACGCTCACCAAACACGCGCACCGCCACTAATCACGCACTGCGCACGCGCACGCGCGCACCAAAGGCAACGCGCAGCACGCGCACCCAGCGCACATGCGACGCGCACGCCCACACGCCCACACAGAGCGCCCACAGCGCAACCTACGCGCTACTACGCGCCACTTCACGCACATGCGCAACAATAGCGCACACAGCGCACGGCGCGCCGCGCACAAAGCGCACAAAAGCGCACTCGCGCACCGCCACGCGCAAGCGCGCGACGCGCAACAGCCACACGCGCACAGCGCAAACAATGCGCCCACGCCACCCACACGCGAGCGCACACGCCACCAACGCCACGCGCACCACACGCACACACGCACACACGCAACACACGCACAAACCACACATTCAAGCAAACCACAAACAAAAAAATAATACGCACACACGCACACAACCACAACACCGCACAACACGCACACACCCATGCTCGCACCACAGCAACGCACCCACCAACCCACGCACGCCAACGCACCAGCACGCACGCTAGCGCACGCGCACCGCAGCAAAAACGCACACGCCGCACATACACACACACGCTCCGCGCACAAGCACGCGCGCACAACCACACGGGTACGCGCACCTGTTCACGCGCTGCACCCATGCCAGAACTGCGCACAACGCGCACCGCACAACCACACGCACAAACACACAATATCACACACACCCAACACCGCACCCACCCAAGCAACGCATTAAAGATCCGCACACAACAACAGCACGCACGCACGCACGCCACGCACGCACCACAACACGCACCCACACACACACATACACACACACACACACGCACACACACACACAAACACACACCCACACCCACACGCACACGCACACGCACACGCACACGCACACGCACACGCACACGCACACGCACACGCACACGCACACGCACACGCACACACCCACACACACACACACACACGCGCACACGCGCGCACACGCGCGCACGAGCGCGCGCGCGAGCACATGTGCACACTCGCACACACGCGCACACGCCCACACACACACACGCACATACACACACACACACACGCACACACACACACACACACACACACACACACACACACACACACACCCACACCCACACACCACACCCACGCACACCACACGCACACCACACGCACACGCACACGCACACGCACACGCACACGCACACGCACAACGCACACGCACACGCACACGCACACGCACACGCACACGCACACGCACACACGCACACGCACACGCACACGCACACGCACACGCACACGCACACGCACACGCACACGCACGCACACACACAAACAAACACAAACACACACACACACACACACCCTCGCGCACACGCACACACACGCACACGCACACGCATTCACGCACACGCACACGCACAAGCACACCCGCACCAGCACACGTGCACGCACACGCGCACGCGCACTCGGACTCGCACGCACACGCGCACGCACACGCACACGCGCGCGCACACGCACATGCGCGCACACGCGCGCGTGTGTGCGCGCGCGCGCACACGCACACGCGCACGCGCACGCGCACGCACACGCGCACTCGCACGAGCACGCGCAAGCGCACGCGCGCGCGCACGCGCACGCGCGCGCACGCGCACTGCAGGCACACGAGCACGCGCAGCGCACGCGCACGATCACGCGCACGCGCTGCGCACGCGCACACGCGCACACGTTCGCGCGCGACACGCGCGCACGCGCGCCCCGCCCGCCCGCCCGCCCGCACGCACAGCGCACGCGCACGCGCAAGCGCAAGCGCAAGCTCACGCGCACGCGCACGTGCATGCCACGCGTACGCGCGTGCGCGCGCACGCACGCACGAGCACGCACGCACGCACGCACGCACGCACGCACGCACGCGCACGCGCACGCACACGCACGCGCACGCGCACGCACACGCACGCGCACGCGCACGCGCACGCGCACCCACACACACACACACACACACATACACGCACGCACGCACGCACGCACCCACACACACACACACACGCACGCACATTTATCTATACGCATATTTATATATATATAGATGAATGCACATGAATTTATATATATATATATAATATGTATATACATTTACACGCATGATCCAAGTGGAACTTCCATTGATTCTGCTCAGGCTGGGCGCCATTTTGGCGCGCTGCTGCTTGGCCATCCCCCAGATCGAGCGGCTGAAGGCGCGGCCGCTCGAGCCGAACTGCCCAGCCGTCGATCGGACAAAGTCGGGCCCAAAAGGGGCACCTTTTTGAGGGGGGTCCCTCCAGCTATCGAAAGCGTTTGGATTTTGTGGACCTTGTCGAAAGCTAATGCGTGGCCATTTTCCTTCTTTTTTGAGCCTTTCCTCTTTTTGGGCCTCCAAAGGTCACAACTTGCATTTGTCCCAATGAAAGCCCACAACATTTTTGACCCAGTGACTCTGTTTTTTCGGTCCCGGTGTTCGGGGGACAGCGAGCAGGTCCAAAAAATGATGGCCGCCCCCACAGAGCTCCCCAAGAGTTAAGGCATTCGCCCAACAGGCCATGCAGAACTCGGAGATTTCAGGGCAGCGAGCCGAGCCTTGGCAGCTTCAGCTTTGGACTCTTCCTGCCAGGTTTCACCCACCTAAAGAGGGTGGGTGGATGGGAGTGCGGGAGGGCGGGCGGGTGGGTCGGTGGGGTCGTTCCACCCCGAACCCAATTCTTCGAGGTGGCTAGAACGCAGCTACGGCTACGTAGTTGACCCCCCAAACGAATACCATCCAAACCTCCCCAACCGACGGGGACGCAGCAGGTGGTTCCAAACATACCTGCTCAAAGGGCAGAATCTTTCCTACAGGGCTCCCAAGCATTTGTCCCTAAACGCCTTTTTGTGTGAGGGGTTCCTTAGCCTTGTCCGTGACATGTTGGCTTTTCGAGTCGAAGGGTGGGTTTGCGTCAATAGTGGCGGGACTTCCTGTTTCGCTTCTTGGCACCCTCCCACTGGAAGCTGATGAAGGGAGGCCCTTGGTTTGCAGTTCTTTTTTTCTTTTGCTGTTGTACCAGGAGGAAGTCGTTCAGCCCACAGTTCCAACCCGAACTTGTCATTTTCCGGTTGCTTGGCTCTTTAGCGGCACTGCAAATCCAAAACGAAAGGTGGAGGTTTAAAAGTGTGGGGCCCGCCTTGAACGCGCAAATCGCAGGGCGCTGAAAGATTGGTCGAGCAGTCAGTCACTATGAACCCATTTTGTTGACCAACATCTAAGCTTCGTGTCGTGGACGCATGATTACATGATGTCTCCGACGTCTAACTCTAATGTAGTTGACTCCAATTCTAGGCCAATCTTGTCTCAACAAACGGATTCGTTTCTCCCACCAAGAAGAAGAGGTTACCTTGCGATTAGGGGTTGCCAATGAACAAACTCTGGGCAAATCAACACAACATGAAGCTTTGGAAGAGTCATGCTTTTCTTTTCAGGCCGAAATGAGTGGCAAGAGGACAACCCTGGTGTCTTCCTGGTTCCCAACCCCAAACACGGGTGGCGTTGGGAGTTTGAACCAGTGCCAACCCTCCAATTCTGTTTCCTTTGGGCCTCTTCAAGGCAACTGATCCCTTTCTTCCTCTGGCGGCCAAATGGCGAGGCCATCTTTTGAAGCCCGAGAGAAAAGGTATTTTGCTTTAGTTTGATTGAGGTTCCAATCATATAGCATCCAATGGTTTCAGCTGGTTCAACCATCTATTTCTATCAGGACACCCGGCAGCAATTACTTGCACGTGCCAAGCAAAACTATAGGTGGGGCGCAATAATTCCATCGATCGGTAGACAGGTGCGCAAACTCCTTCGAACCTGTTGTGGCCCACCCATTTCCTGGGAAATCTGCAAATGTATGCCAACTGTATTGGTTCGGCTTAAACTCACCGCAAGCATTTTTGCAAGAAACTGATGCACGTTTCTTGGCGAAGCCAGGTTCCAAACTCCTTCCACCTTTCCAAGACTGCCGTCATGGGCCCTTGGGGTAACCATGAGAGGAACCTCCGCGCCGCGCGGAGACAGCCCGACCTTCCGAGGCCGCGCTCATGGCGGTGATCACCAAGTCCAAGAACGAGCCGCAGGTGTCCTCCGCCAAGGCCGAAGAATCGGCCCGTCGGGCCGTCGGGCCGTCGCGTTGTGCAACTCGGGAGGGCGGGCGCGTGTTTGGGAGACACAAACAAAGCCTTCTGATCTCGGAGGACTCCTCCTTTGGCTCAAGATGCACTCCTGGAACAAACCCACTGTTGCCCAATTCTCAGAATCAAGTTCCAGGAAATTCGCCCGAAAGCAAGCCCAACCCCTTGCTTTGTGGTGGCTGTTTGGCTGACCTCATCATGATTTTGCCGGGGCTCGTTCGAAGACCAGAGGCACCTCAACCCCTGCTTCCTCCTTTTTCTCGTGGGGCTCCCTTCAATATAAATCGACAAAACAAGGGCGGCGTCCCATGCAGCCTCCAAATGAAAAGTCAGTTCGCTTCTTGACAGCCACAATCGAAGGAAAGCCTGGATGAAGATGAATGCCAGGGGACAGTCTCAACAGGAATCGGTGTGGATATTGTTCGCCTCCGTGACTAGCAGGTTCAATGATGGCTCAATTGACTAGTGGTTCAAGCAGTCTAGAGGAGAAATCTGAGCAGGCTGGTTTCCTGCTGTTGCAGGCAATCAAACATGTTAGTTCGTTGTGTTAGACAAGGTTTCAGGTTCCCTGTGTAACAGGGTCTCAATGTATGGGAGATTGTGGAAACTTTGGAACAGGCCAGTCAGTCAGCCGCACCATAAACCGAAGCACTGAATGAGCACCATCGATACTGATTCGGGCAGCTCCAAGGGGACATTTTAGCAACTCAGATCGTGACTGCTAGCTACTAGTGAAGAATAGGACTAGTGACTAGCAGTGACCTGGCATTTCGGGTCATCTTTCCATGGCTCCCCTTATTTTTGGTCAGTGTACACTAGCCAAAGGGCACCAAGCCCGATGTCAGGCGCCGTTTAAATTGCAATGGTTCTTTATGGTGTCAAGCGGATTGGCGATTGTTCTGATTTGAAGACGAGGCACGAAGCCCCCCCCCCCCGCATGTTAAAGTCGATGACGTATTGAGGTCTGGTGAAAGTGATGTCTATATGGGCCTGGCGTACCGGGGGGAAAAATAAGTTGGGAAACCTGTAGGTTTCCCTTGGAAGCCAACCAGCAAAAAGTTCCCGGTGCAACCATCCTGGTACAACCCTAGATTGCAGGGTCTGGGGCATCAGGCATCACACCCAAACGACGCCACAAGGAGATCGAGATGGTTTCAGTTTGTTTCCGGACCTGTTTACTGCTGCTGCTGGGTTCTCAAACAAACAATGCTAGGATGCTCAACTTACTCAGTCAGTAGGTTACCAGCACGGCCTTAACAGAACCACTTCCTGCTGTATACCCCACTTGTAACCATGGTTTTCACCTACATACTACGTAGGTTGAATATCCAAGTGCTCGATTTGCCGCCTTTGCATTCCCCGCCTTGTTTTGAAACTCGGGGTCTGTCCTGAAACATGTGCTCTTGACTCGTACGGCTTTAAAGTGCAACCAAAGCGGGATATTTAGGAGTGAATTAGAGAAGTGGGGCATTACCCAAGTCCTTTTGGCCCTAATGTCCGACCTGGGTGTCATTTGACAGTTGTTTGGCAGGCGGTGGAGGGAGAGGATTAACCCAATTTGGGTGTCTTGTTTGAGCGTACACTTTTGTAGGTGGTTTAAGAGGGACACAAAGCGGAGGCCTCCCATTTTGGGGGTCCCCTATCCCATTTGGACAAACAACCCCAAAAGAAATAATATGGCGGTGTCTCAACACTGGAGACAACAAAGAATGAACAAGATGAAACAATGCCAACCTCATATGTGTGTGCTTTCCAGTGAATGAGCAATCTATGGGTTTCGACCTTTAGCACCCGAATCGATTCGGAGAAGCCACGGGTCCCCTTCTTCCGCTTTCCGGCGGTCAGGAGCGGCTCGGGGCCTTGGCGAAGGAGACGCAGGACTCGAAATCGGATCCGGGTTGGGGACACCCCAGACCCAAGCCCCCGAAAAGAGAGGGCCTGAATACTTAGAATATGATTGTAGGGTACTTCAAAACCAAATTGTGTGTGTCGTTTGTAGGCCTCGTGGACTTTCCGGTGTTGTTTCGAAGGGAAGTCAAAAGGATCTCAACCAAACACAAAAGGTCTTTCTGCGTGGAAGTTATTTGGATAGAGTCTTGGGTCCCGGGACCTCATGAGATTCTTTCCAAGGTGCCCATTCAAAAGACCCAGAGCTGAAAGACTCCGCTTTACGCCCTGGTGTCCTTTGTGGACTGCCCGGAAAGCCGTGGTACGCCTTAAGGCTTGAGAGCCTCAGGGTGTCTTCGCTTGGACGTCCCCTCTTTCCAGGTTTAATAGGGAAACCCAGGAAAGCAAAGGACACCAAGGGAAACTTAAGGACACCAAAAGAAACCCAAGGGAAAAGGCTCAAGTGTTGGTTAAAGTTGAAGGGGTTTGTCTTTTTCAGAGTTTAAAGGATATTGGATGGTTCTGGGCGAGGGATTCCCCGCATTGAGGACATGAGCTGTGCCATGCTCCACGCGATTGTGCTGGCAATGGACGGCCCGGCTCCCCGATTTAGTGCCCGGAGGGGTGCCGGAGAGGAGATACCTGGGTGCATGAAAGCGAACATTTTGAGGGCCTAATAATTACTTTGGGATGCATTTCCCTTAATCGAACATTTAGAATGATATTTTGAGGATGTCACTTTGATGCACCTAACTCTTGTTCAGGGATGCCTGAAAGTTGTAGCTGGGGTTTGAACATGTTTAGAGGGGCGCCGAACGAAACGTTTGGACTCTGCACCCTTGGATGGCCTGGCTACAAATCACCCGGTGCATGTGGCTGTCTTGTTGGACCTCCGGCAAATGGTGGACTGTCACTCATGTAGTCCTGAGGAAACCAAAATGGACAGTGCTCCGTTTCGGGCTTGCCGGGCCGCCAATACCCGGGATTGGGGTATGACCAGGCCACAGCCCTGAACCACCCTCTTTTAAATTGGGGCCATCAAGTGAACACCTCTAAACTTTCGGGGGTTCTCAACAGTACTCTTGAGGATTGTGTCCCTTCAAACAACCATGCGGAGTCTAATTTGAAAGATGTCACTTTAATGGCATGAGTCAAAGGTGCAGGATACCTATAAAAGTGGTTTGTAGCCACGTGTATCACCTACTTACCAGGGGCTGCAAGCGCTGACAGCCCTGCCTCTTTACATGGAATGGCCGCTTTGCGGCTTCGTGTTTGCATCGCGTTTGGCCGCGGATGTCTTGTGTGTTCCCTGTGGCACACGCCGAAGAGCACGCGCCGGAGGCAACTGGAACGAGGCTGCGCAGATGACCAAGGCTGGACGGGTGCGATTCGGCACGGAGCTGGGGAGTTGAACCCGCGTCTCCTCTTGAAGCCAATAGGTATCTGCCCTCAGAACGCCTCAAACCACCGGAACCCATGAAGGTCACCTTTCGGCTAATCGAGACAGTTTCGTGTTGTGCCTTCGCTAAGCCATGGCCCCCAAATGCGGCAACCCATCCAGATGGTGGGTTTATAAGCCAAGGTCAGCACGCCAGTCAGTAAGGTTCTTTGCAAGGTGCTGGTATGTGTGTACATATATGCACACAAATCAAAGCAAGCTTACATGCAATCTAAACAAGCTCACCCAACATGGGGGATCCTTGCTTACAAACGCTCCTGCGAATTGAGAAGAGGCTGTTGTTTTTCGTCTCTGCCAGGCACATCCCGTGCTGGAAATGCAGGCCTGGAGGGGGGGTGGACTGCTCGACTTCTGGCTCACTGATGGGTCGCGGTCAAGCGCGAGGGGTTTGGATTATTCATCCTTTACTAAGGCCTTTAAGGGCTTATTCGGAAGCCTTGCTAAGGTTGGCCCCGCTTCCTTAGGAAGTGACCATAACAGTTAAACAAGTGCGTCTCAAGTTCCTGAACATTGGAGCCAAGGCTTAAGGACCAAGCCATCGGGACTGTCCAAATCGTGGACCTGTGAGTCGCAAGATCAGGAAGCTCCCCTTTCGGGGATGGTTTTCAAGGGAATCCGGAGAGAAACCTATTTGTACGGGCACCTATTTTGAGAAGCGCCCGAATGGGCTTCAAGAATCAGAAGGCAATGAAATGGGGTCAACACGTCACCCCACCACCCCCTAAATGATGGATTTGGGGAGTAGGGTACCCCTGGAAGTCTCAGTTTGTATTTCCCGGAAGACTCGAAACAGATCTGATTGGGGGGACTTTTCCTCTTGAAGGAAGGGGGATAGAAAGGCGGTGAGCTCCTGCGGAAAGTCCAAGCAGTGCCCCCAGGGCCGCCGTGAAAGTGATTTTGAGCAATTGACAACAAATATTGGTAGCCTATTGTTGGTTTGGGCAGAACATAGAGCAACATTCCGATAACTTCCCGTAAAAATAGGAGGTTGAGATCCTCTTGGAGAAGCATTGGTAGTTGTGTCGGGAGCTCATTGGGAGATATGCGAGGTGCTGACGATTCTGCTGGCGCTCAGCTGTAACCAGATCAGCATGGGGGAGAAGCTGCTGAAGGCCTGATGTGTTGCGTGGGCCTGGTGGGGACAAGGTGCTGTTGGAACTATAATTATTTGATGTGTCAGGCTTGATTCTTGACTCAGGGTTGACTATGCGAAATATGCTCTGGAAGTAGATAGGAACCTTTTTGAAGATGGTCATCTTCCAAAGCCTTCCTGTAGACTTCTATGATTTTTGGAAAGAGGGTGAAATGCCAAAAAGGGCACAGTTTGGGGCCATGCAGGGTTCTGTGCAGGCGGCGGAGGTGCGTTGCGGGAAGGTACACACCCCACCGATCAAGCCGATGTTTTCCCCAGTCGACGTTTAGCTTTTGGTCATTCTCAAACCAATTAGATAAATCCATTTTTTGCTGCTCCTTTCTCATTGTTCATTGTCAGTTCGCAACTTTTCTTCAACAGAAAGGTCATTTTATAGTTTCATTCTCATCATTTCTTGGGTGGTGCCCTTTTTGAGGCTAGTTGAAAGCGACACACACACCCACAAGGAATCCCACCATGTTTTTGGGCCCCCCAATTTCTGCCTTGTCGGACCTCTAGACGTCTCCGCTTCAGGAGGCGGCGGGGAACAACGACGACTCGGCCGGGCTCCTGGCAGGCTATTGCCCGCTCCAGACTTCGTTTTGAGCGGTGAACAGGTTCAAAAGCGTGTCTTGACCAATCCTCTTAGGAAGTGAGAAGCACATAGGGTGAACCCGACTTGTACCCCAAAGGCAAACAGAGATTTAGGGGTGCGACTCCCTTTCCTACCGAAAAGGGGTGAAACTTGTTTGGCATACTGGGCACGCGAGTCTCGGATGGGGAGCCCCTCTTCTGTACATTTGTTTGACCATTGGTGACCCTTCCAAGCGGTCGGCTCCGTCTTGTCTATTCTTTCCCACCTATAGATGTACACTAGTACATCAAAAGGGGCTTTCGCAATGTACAAGAAGCATGGCATTGTACATTCTGGATGGTCATGTGATTGGTTGAAATGCATCGGGAGTTCAAAAAGCTTGCCCAAGGGTTTGTTTGGCGGGCCGCAGCTAAGATCTCTTCATGGCCAAGCTAGAGACGATAGCCTAAATCTTGCAGCTGAACCAACCGCATCCAATCGCAATGTTTTCGTGAATTGTGACAATTTTACAGGGCTTCCAAATTGTTCCCTGCTTGCAACATGGAAGTGTCTGTTTTTTTTGTCCGATTGTAACACATGCCCTGTTCGGGCATGTCTTTCTTTTTTGTTTCTCGAGGAATTTAACGGAGGCTGCCCAGTTCGGGTTTCCCCGATGTTTCGGGCGCCCGCACGCCTATCCGAGGCTGCATACCGCATCGCGGCGGCGGCGGTGAAGCTGGGGGGCGGAGACCCGGAGGAAGCGTGCCCGAAGGAAAGGAGGTGGCAGTTTGGGCGCAGAAAGGATACAGAAACAGCTGATTCAGAGGATTCCCTTGCACAGCAGGTGGTTTTTGGCTGTATCCTTCAAGCAACTCTGTTTTGGGGAGATGCTTGGGGGCCTGGGGGAGCTGTTTCTGTCAAATATGTTCTCCTTGACGGGCGGTGCTTTCGCTGTTGCTTTCAAGATCCCCACGGGCGGGCGCATTTTTGGACCTTGGTGCCACCCGAGGTCGCGCCTTAAGGGGATGCCCAAAATGGCCCAGAATTCTGACCTCCCCCCGCAATTCCACAGTCATTGCCTTCCAAGATCTAACATAAGCACCTGAGGCAAAAGGAAGCTCCCGTCGCCGATTCAGCAGACTTGTCAACCGAGTTTGCCTCCCAACTCGTGGAGGTACCTCACGTACTGCGACCTCTCCTCGCAGTTCCCACCGGTGGATGGCGATGCCGCGCGTCCGTGGGTGCGGCGGAACCGAATGCGGCGTGCGTGGGTGCGTGCGTGCGTGCGTGCGTGCGTGTGCGTGCGTGTGTGTGTGTGTGTGTCACTGTGTGCTGAGGCACGCCTTGTTGAAACAAGACAGAATTGCCAGCCGCAGATGCAGAGGCTCTCAAGTGAGTTGTGTGCCCTTGAAACTTTTGGCTAGGTTGGATGCAAGGAGAGGTACCCACAGGATGTCAAATGTTCACTTGAAAATTGCCCGCTGAAGCTCAAGCCCAGCCATGCTTGAAATCTTTCCTGACAGATCAGCGAACCCTGCGAGAAGATTTGTAGAAGACACCCTACCAGGTCTCGCTCTCTCATAGGCACCTGTTCTTCTAGGGGCCTGCCAAGTGAATGTCACTCATCCTATTTTGGTTGCCAATTTTTGCCATAGCCATCTCCCTGGTTTCCTCCGAAACAGGATAGGGCCTCATCAAGTGGTCGGAATCTTGATGATCCTCCCACCAACAAACTTGCACGTGGACAAATTATATTTGAAATATGGCTTTACTTGTAAAAAGAGTTCCAGCGCATTCCCAATGCCAGAATTTGCTTGCCTGTGAGACTTTGTTTTTGGTTTCCTTTGATGGGAATGCATCCATCGTAGACCCACCCTTCCCCACCAAAAAGGGTTCTCAGAACCCTTCCAAGAAGTTGAATTCACTTTTTCTTCCAGGGGGGGTGGGCCTCAAGCTTCCTCCTTTCATGCCTCTCAGCCCTATCCCCTCAGCCCGATCCCTCGGCTCGCTCAGGACTCTGGCGCCGGATCGGTTCTGCTACAGAACGGCAAGGCGCGGATCGGAGGTTGGAGGGGCTGGGACGCCGGGTTGTTTTTTTTGTTTTTTTTTTCTTTAGCCTTTTGGTGGCAGGAGGACATGGCAGGATTGGACCATTGGCCTTGAAGCTCTCAGGCTGTGGCCAACATGCAGCGCGGCATGTTCTCGGAGGCCGTGGAGGAGCTCGGGGGAGGATTTGGGTTATCAAAATAGAAGACCTCTAAAAACTGGCTTGTTTCCTTTGGGTTTCTTTTGATCTACCATTTTGAGAAGCCCATCCGGCCATGTCCTTTCACTGCCAGACTCAACCCCAGAGCTCCAGTGCTCTGTCGTTTGGAGCCAGAAGAGCTGCCCCTGTTCCCCATGACCCCTAGAGGAGTCCTAGAGATCCAGGCAACCAACTTGTTTGCCCTTTCCCCCTTTTGGGGTTCCGCTCTGGTTTCCCTTTAAAAAAAAGCTTCAGGGTCGATTGGTTTGGCTCGACATCGATCGGTTCGCCGGTTCCACGGTTCCACGGTTCCTCCGGTTCCTCCCTCCCTCGGGTTGCATGGAAGGAAATGGGCTTGTCTCAGAATGCGGATTTGAACACTCGAAAATCGCCGCTTTCGTTTGGGTTCGTTTTTCAATCCACCCCAACATGAGGTACCCTCAGAAAAAGGCACACTCAAATCCCTTCAAGAGCAAATCGGCACATGTACTATGTTTGTTGGAGAAAGGGTGTAACAAAGCTGTGGATATGGGAGCGTCGCAATGACCGACTAGAAGGTTGCTGCTTTCGCAGCCCGCAAGTCTTCTTCGCTTTGGAGCTGTCGCCTGACTCCTTCGGGAATTCCTCCCTTCGGTTTCGGTTAGTGGCTGCGCCTCATTTGGCGAACGGTTCGGTTCCGCGGATCAGGTTCCGTGTGTCCTGGTTCGATCTGGTGGCCTTCCTGAAGACAAAGACTCTGCAAGGGTTGGCTCAGAGGGGAAGCAACAGGAAACCACCCATTTGTGCTTTGGTGAGGTTCAAGAAGCCTGTACTTTCACTGCGCCTTCATGGACCATGTCGATGGAAACGGTGCCTCCTTTCTCTTTTTGTGCTTGAGTCAGGCATAGGCAGGCATGCATGAAGTCTCAACATAAGCGGGTGGCTCTGGCCAAAGCTCTCTCCTTGGGCATGGCGGACGAGTCCCTTAAACAGGGAGGCCTCAAGCGCGACATCGTCCGGGGCGACGGCAAGTGCCAAGTTGCCGTTGTTGCCCGAGATCAGGAACCAAGGAACCAAGGGGTTGTTCATTGTTGTAAACCATTATCTTTCATTGTTTCTTGCAGTTCTCCAACCATCGTGTAGGGCACAAGACCACGGGTGCCATCACTCTCCGGGGCCAAGCAGGTCAAAGGTTACACCAAAGAGAAACAACCCTTGTTTTACTGAGGGTAGACAATCCTCTGAGGGGAACCACAGGGAAACCGCTCATTTGCTTGTGGACACACCCATTTTAGCTGGGCCCAGCTTTCTGCGATGAATTTCCGGGGAAGGTACGGCTCGAATTGTCATGACTTACCCGCAAGCGAACCACAAGCAAATCTAAGTTGAAGCTGCAGCACTGTAACTGCATACTCAAGCAACCCCACCATCAAGCAATTCTGAAACAACCCAAATCTCGTCTGAGATTAAGCCCAATAGCTGCTCAATAGCTTCTCTTTTGGCACGGCTGGATTTTGGCGCACCCATGTGCACGAAGGCAGTGTCAAAAGAACCTATTTCGGAGCCCCTGTGTTATTAATAGGACCCGAACAGTAGATCTTTATCGCCCCAGCACCATCTACGCCAATCTGGTCTGCCTATTTTTTGGCGAGCCGCCTCAGCTCACAAGAGAGCAGCAGCGCGCCCTGCGCATGCTGGAGAGGCAGTCCGCTTATGACCGGCTGACCACAGGCGCAAGCGTACTAGTGTAAAAGCATGATGTCCATAGAGCCCCGCAACGAGCCGCGGATGCTCCGGTGCGATCTGGGGTAAAACGAGACATGCCAGACCAAACTCCTGATTTGTGAAAAACACTGTCAGCATGCTCGAATCAAGCCGTCTTTGTTTTTGTCTATCATTCGTCCCCAAGGCAGGTACCAGCCCCACAGTGCCTTTAGCGTATTGTGAGATTCCTTTGCGAGTTATCACATGAATGAGAACAGAATTGAGAGATGGTAAATTTGGCATGTCTCTTCTCAGAATTCAAAAGTGTCTTCAAACTCAGCCATGATTTAGGTCCTTTGCTTGGGGAATTGTCAATTCCACTCTGTGAAGTGTAGTTGCCGACCTCGACGCCGGAGCAGAGAGAGAGGGAGAGAGAGAAAGAATTGTAGTTGCCCCTATCCAAGTCCGATGTTTTTTCCATGTTTGGGGCTTGGACCCAAGTTTGTGGCTTGGTGGGTCCTTCCCCGCGCTTCAGGACTTGCAGAGGGCCCTGGCTGTTGCTCCGAACGACCCAGACACGCTGGCGGGGGAACAGGGGAAAGTCGGGCACGGGTGTGCCCACTTTGCATGTCTGGGGCCCATCAAAGACGGAAAAGGCTTAAAGGTATGGGTCATCGCATAATTTGTTCATGCGCGCAATGCCTGAGGGCCCAGACGGTGTTTTTGGTTTTGTTTCTTGAGTTGGCTGAGTTGGTATGCCACAGGCTTCGTTTCAGAGAAAAGCCAAACCCAGTGGATCCCTGGAATTTTGCCACTATAATAGCAAATAACCAGCAATTTCTCTGTTGTTTGCCAAGGGTGGTTCCCTTTACCTGCAGACACATAGTTGATTAGAAGCACGAAAGGGAAGTCAATTTAGGCGGTAGACCCCTTGCCGAGCCACGAGAGATTTTGGGTCTGATTGTGGGCAGGGTGCCCAAAAGAACCTAAACCCAGGAACCCTGATGATGTCAGCTCATCTTTGGAGGTCAAACATACTTGAGAGCATGTCATTGACACCACCAATCAGAGAGGCAGTTGGCACATGCTTTAATGGAGAAGAACATCAGGGAGTTTTTGTTTGGTAAGGACTCACATTCAACCATTCACTTGTAGAATTATCTTTGCGGGCGCTGTTTGGGTTCCACATTTTCTTTGGCCAGGTTGTCCTTTTTGGACTTCTCAGTAGGTGGAATGAGTTTCCAACCTTCACTTGGTTGTTTCCTTCACCCACAAGAGCCGCAAACCATTTGTGCTCCTGAACATATTTGCACAGGCCTTCTAGGATGAACCAGCTTCTTTTCTTAGTTCAGCAACTACCCTCCATAAAGGGCTCATACCATGGGCTTCAACCCCTCGTTGTGTAAGTTCCAGGTAAATCCCTCTTGAATACGGGTAGAACTGCCACACAGCACGCAATTTCCAACTGCAAAACGACAGCTGACCCGGCCATGCTCGGGATGGATTCGCCAGGTCAACATGTGCAGTTGCATGACCCACCTGGGCAAGAAGGCGCGGAAGATGCTTGTTCTTCACATTGTTCCTTACCCGTTCTTTTTGTTGTTGTGTTTGGCCGATGTTTGGCAGTTGTTTTTAGCGATTTGTGTGGCTGTGGTTTGGCTTGTCCTTTTCAGAACTACCTTGTTATAGTTATATTTCGCTTTCCCAAAAAACGTAGCAGACGTAGCAGACGTAGCAGACGTAGCAGACGTAGCAGACGTAGCAGACGTAGCAGACGTAGCGGAGGATTCTGGGGATCGGCATGCCACAAATGTCAGAAATCAAAGTCGCTGTACTCTAAAAATGGAATTGGGAAGGAGGGCAGACCCTGGAGTTCCATTCGTAGTTTCATGTTGCTTTTGTAGCGAAGACTAGGCGCCCCCCGCTCCCTACCCCTGAAGGTAGGCGGAGAAAGCGAAAGGACACCCCCGGCTTTTGTGTTTCAGAGTTGGACAAATTTGGTTTGAATACAACCTCTTTAATGCGAAACAACCTCTAGTTTCAGACAACCTGTTCAACCATCACTGTAAATGGCAAAGTTCGGGTTGCCATGACGAGCCGAATCCCACCCCGCAATGGCGGAAGTGGGGTGGGGAGTAGCCCAACATAGGAACTCTCCCCCACACAGTTCCCGTGTGGGAGGGCAGCCCTCGCGGGTGTTTCTCACTTCAGGTTCCAGCCAAGCAAATGGTTTTGGCCACATGTGATGTGCTGGTACTTGCGCCTCAGAACCCAAGGTCCTACTCAGCTACCTGAAGAGAGCAGTCATATATGTCTCCTTTTTTCACCATGCTTTTGGTTGTCACACATTTGCGCCTTTCTCCAAACAGGGGAACCCCCCCAAATGGGTGGTTTGCCTTGCTTGTGCTTCCCAGCAGCTACAGAAAAGGCAGCCGCAAGCCAAACCACCTGGATTTGTGTTTTCGTTTTGGCATGTTTTGAAGGAGCAAGAAGGGAACCCACGACACATCTCCAGAGGGTGGTACCCTTCTTCTTTTCTTTCTTTTGCCTGGAGGGGGTTCCCTCAAAACAGGGAGGCACGTCTGGGAAAGACGCCCCCTTGGTATGTGGGACCTTGGCGGGCGGCTGGATGATGCAAACCATTGGCTCAGGAGGAGTTCCAGCAGTATTACACCAAGCTGGAGCAGGCGTGCCAGGGCTGTGCACAAATTGTTATGCCCTTCGTTCCCTTTCCAAAAGCATGGCTTAGCCAAGCCTGCGTTGCGATGGTTTCTTCCCAAAGCCGAGAGCCATGTCGTGCGTTTCGCTGGTGACTAAAAGCAAAGCAGCACGCAGGATACGTGTGTTCATTGAGTTATTGATTAATTTATATTGTCAAAGAAGCACGCTCATTGGATTTGTTCAGTTATTTGTGCTCGGGCCTCGCTTTCATCATGTGGGGTGCAGTTAGTTGATACATACCTCCAGGGGTGATTTGCGCTGGACAGTAACAAGCCCAGCATATGCCCTTGTTGAGGCCTTGTGAGCTTAAATGCTTTAAGGGCACTCGCAGCCGAGAAACTTGCACTGCAAAGACCATCTCCACCAGGCTTGGTCTGAGCTTGAAGAGACGGCCAACCATTGTGCTACCCTTGTCCAGGGATATGAGAGCAAGACTCTCAACAGATAGTGCTTTAGGACCTTCAGCAAGGTACAAGCTGCTCGAGCAAGGCATGATTTAGCAAAACCAGATCCAGAGGGCCCCCTTTGAAGGGAAACAAAAAGGTGTGTTTTCAAACCATAGCTGTTTAAACATGCTCAAATCATGGGTTGGCCCAACCCTGAATAGGACTGGCAACTGCATGTCACCAAGCATTTCGAGGGGTGTGACTGGTTCTGACATGACATTTTACACAGATTTATCCACCCAGACTTTGCCTCAGGGGGCCAGGTCCCCTGGAACAAAGGAATCCACAAACAGGCCTCCTGATTATTGGCTCGGGGCACGAGAGCCTCGAGAAAAGGTCCTTTTCCACGCAACCACGCAAGCAGGCATGAAGCACTGAGGACCGAGAAGCGCCTGCTTGACAACAAAGGGGGCTTTTTGTACGCAAGACAGTTCGGCACTTTTGGGGGGAACACTCCCAGTTGATCCGCCAGGTTGACAACTTCGGTGTCGGCATTGATGGTTTTTAGCCTTCAAAAGATCCATCCACATTTCACCCCCGCGAAAGTGTATCTAGGCTTCCCAGGTTTTCGTAGGATGCTTTGTGCTGCAAGCGTGGGCGCAGGTCGCTCCCACCAACGGCTTCGTGCTGAAGACCCAGGCGCAACTCTGAGCGTTCTGCCCACAGAAGCAGCCAAAACGATTACATCTGGGCCAGATAGAGAATCGCCTTTTTCAGCTGCCCTCCCGCTAACATGAACCTGACAGGGAAATGGCCCCTTCGAGAGAAAGTTGATATTCCAGCTCACCTCGCAGGTGCAATGTTTGGAGGCGGAAGGACAACTCCTGGTTTTACGGCGATGTAAATGTGAACCTTGGTTTTGGGACCCTGCTGACCTTTTGCCGTGTTTGAAAGGTTGTACCAATTGCAACCACTTCTACAGGGTCCCTTCAAGGATACATTTTGGACTGGATAGAAAATCGCGCTTGCCAGCTGATTTAGAGGATTCCCTTGTGAAGAGGGTGGCTTTTGGATGTATCCTAGAAGGAATCCTGCTCTATGATGCCACTTGGAAGCAGCCTGTCCGATGACTGCTTCGTTGTCAGGGAAGGTGCTGATATCGCAACCAACGGAGTTCAACCACGAGCCAAGGCTTCACAGCAACTGGTACTGTGCATTTTATATGTCGGATCCCGAGAAACGATCCATTCTTGAAATCTTTCAGCTTTGTTTCGAGGGACTAGAAAGCTGCCGCTTCCTGCAAAGATCTCGATATTCAAATTGGTGGGGAAGCACAGCTTAAATTTTCAACCAGTGCCAAGGGCAAGCCCTGACAATGAATGCCCCTCCAATGAGTGGCAATTGCCACTCAATGTGGACCCTCTGGTGTTTTCTCCTCACTGGGTGAACTTTGGGTGTCGCAGGCCATGTCCACGGCCTTCACGCGCTTCAAGACCTCCCTGCAGGCCTTTCAGACTTTGGACCAGTAGGAGGCGAAGCGAGCAAAAGGGCGCTTTGCATTGCGCAAATGGGTGTTTCGGAACTCTCACTGACTGTGGACTTCCCCAAAGGGGTCCATTCCAAGTTTGGACTTCCCTCAGATGCTTGAAGAACTGAAGCCCAGATCACAAGCGATTACGCAAGGGATGGCATCCAGCTTCAAAAGAATCAAATTCCACCAAGTGCCGCGGAATTTGACAGCCTGTTTCGAGAAATAACGTGGGGGTTTCTGTAGTTTATTTCTACCCTCCCGTGGCACCTGGCATATCCCTTCCAGGGGACATGGATTTTCAGGTAGGTTCTAAGATGTTCCAAGTGCCTTCCGTTAGTGGGAAGTACAAGTTAGTGGGAAGTACAATTCATTCATAAGCAGGTTGCCCTATTCGAGCCGTTCCTCAAAGATGATCAAACCTGGCCGAAAATCGGCTAAGGGTTTTCCTTTGGTTTTCCTTGCCCTCGGTTGCCAAATTGCGACCTGGTCGCGATCGGGTCCAGTGGGAGGGTTGTCTCTGAATCAGGGGCAAATCCAAGAGGTTGACCTCGCGAAGGTTCGGTTTGCGACCGAATTTACCCCGTGAACGTATTCTTTTCAAAAAAGGCGGATCGTTTTTCAACCGTCTTTTGGCGGATCCTATGTCAGAAGCAGAAGCATCCGTAGCTGCAGCTCAAATCGCTTATAGGCGATGAGGATGATTCATGCTCTAATTGTCGAGCTAGAAGAAAAGAGTAGTTGCTTTGCAGTGCCTTTGGGTTTTCTTATCTTCTTGTTGCCATATGATGGAGAATATTCAGAGTTAGAGTTATGTAAAAAGTTTCCAGTCGGTTGGTAGAGATAGGCATCTCCCCACGGTGGGGACTCCTGAAACCCAGACAGATTCCTGCCATCGGAATCGAACCAATGGCCATTGTTTAGAATTATTACTTGACGCCTGCATCCAAAGTCAGTGCTTCCCCGCACCATCTTGCACAGCCCCAACTCAAACGATTCGTTCTGCACCAGGCGCAGCATCTTCTGACTCCAACATATTTTCTTTTTGAAGATGAGATGTGGACGCCCCCTTTCCCCTTTGTTCTCAGCTAAGAATTCCTGGGTCCAACTCATGTTGAGACTCAAGACGTCCTGAGCCAAGCGGGCGCATCCAGAGTGCGCCTGATGGCGGTCTTTGGCGCTCGTGGTTTGGCGCTGTTCGGCTTGGCAGGGACGCCTGGCGTGTGCATCAAGCTATGCAGCCCCGATGAAGGGCAGTACAGTGCCCTACATCCCGTTGGAAAAATCCCACACGTTTCTCTCCGCCTTCTTGGATAAGTCAGAATACTCTTCCGCGACCTGAGGCAACAAAGCCATTTGTTATTTGACCACAGAGACGCGCGGATAAGCTGTTACTTGTTGACTGAAAACCGGTGCGCGCAGCGCGCGATCTTGAACAGGTGGTGGAGTGGATTCACCTCTTGTACTTGTCATAGCAAATGTGGTGATCGACACGGCCACAAGTGACAAATGACTGAAAGCTACATCTCAGGAGCATTTTCGCTCTCTGAGTTAGCAGGGGACTCCACTTTCACTTTCGTCTGGGTAACATCTCCCTGGCAAAAATCACGCAAGTACAGTCGGACACTCGCGGGTGAGCCTTTGACTTTGTCCACAATTCAATACAGTGAGAAAAGGTATATAGCAACTGCTGCCTTGAGAGCCTGTCGATGTCGAGCATGTGAACGCATCCACATGTTTGGTACTACTACATGCAGTAACGGGCGAAACTACCGATACGTCACGTGCAGAAGCATCATTGAGTAAGCGGCAAGCCTGAAGGAGCAACACGTTGATGCAATGGAACACCTCCATGTCATGTGCACTGGTTGCCCAAAGCGAACTCCCAAAATGGGGCCTGGTTTTCCGGGGTTTCCCTTCAAACCAATCCCGAAAAGGTTACTCCCTTCAGATTGACCGGAGGCCAGCCAAGGAACAGATCCATTTTAGGAGTGGAATATCCTTTTGGGAAATGGACGTCAACTTTGCACGTTTGGATCTTCGTTTTGCTGTCTACTTTGATTCTGTGGATGGAACCACCTAAATTGCGCTCTTTTGCAATCCACCAGCCTGTTTGCAGGAGAGGCCCTGCAGTGATTTGTTTGCAGCTTCCATTCAAGCGAATCGCGGGTTGGTACCTTGGATCCTCCTTAAAGGGTTGATTCATATCCCAGTCGGCGTGACGGTTTGACCCGCAAAACACCAGACTTTGCATGGGGTCGAGCTTTTGTTCCAATGTCCTTCGCGAGAACCGCATATTCTGACTGTGGCGGCACATCATGGGCACTAATTCGCCAGCGAGGGATCGGCACATCACCAAAAGTGCATGTGTGTGCTTTTTGAGAGTAACAACAAACACACTTTTTGTCGGGTTCTCCCATTTTGAGACCCCAGGCGTCCAATTAGATCCGTTTGCTGCAAAATAGATTGCGCTGTTTTTAAAAAGGCGCCTGAAGCGCAGGGGTCAAACTTGCGGACCCCTCAAAAAGGGAGGAGGTTCAAAAGGCACACCCGGAGCTTTGACTGGTTGTTTGAGCGTGTTGGAGCTGGGTCAAAGTAAACACTAGTGACATGGGAATGCGCCAATGAAAAGTAAATGCTGGGGTCCCCGCATGAGTCACCCGGTGTATTCCTAATTGTCGTTGGATGAATGTAAAGGGACCCACACGCGAAAAACAACCACAACTCGTTTGCTGGCTGAGTAAACGGAAGTCTTCAAAACGACCTGACCGTGCAGAAGCGGAGGAACAGGGATTTGCGAATAGCAGGGCACTGGATTTGCTCCCTAAATGAGCATGGACCCCCAGAACGGATTGGGATTTTCTTTCAAATCTGCGGATTTAACCCAAGCCGCCAACCAAGAAAAGGGCACCAATCCCCTTGCGGGTCCCTTTGAAAAAGCGGTCTTTGACTCTTTATGCCAACAAGATATTTATACAACATGGACACTTTTGGGGTTCCTTCGTAAAATCTGCCGCAGTTGATGAACGTCCTTTACCTGCGGATTCCTTCATTTTCTCAGATCTATGGCTTGGGGCGGGCTGGCTTGTTTCAAAACGGATGGGGGACGGCCGACGGCGCGTGGCCGACGGAACGCGGCCGGAGGTCCAGGGCGCCATGCGCATGCCGGAGGACGCTTTTTTGCGATCGCCTTTGGCCCTGGCTTCTCTCCAAATCGGGCATGGCTTTAAAATGGGCATCGGGGCATTACCAAAACTATTGTAATCACCTACACTACTGAAAGGAGCTTCGGCCTGTCTTGTGCAGAAATTGTTGTCCAGAGACTGAGCCGTGACGAGAAAGGTTGTGGTTGGTTGGCTTCCACCGCAATGACGCCAGGGATTTGCCTTTCGCCTGTGAAGGCCTAGCCATCGAGAAGAGGTACTGTAGATTCCATGCAGCTCTGGTGAAGCGTGGGCAAGACGCAGGAGTTCAATGTAGAAACGGACTTCGATGTCAAAAACAAGTACCAGAAGGCGGCAGTGCCGGCGAGGGCGTTGGAAGGGAGGCGTTGGCAAGCGACTTTACTAGGACTTGGGCCAAGGTCATTAGTGAGCGTCGTGTTGACCCCGGATCAATCAACCGGGGCATTTCTTCCCACCAGTGAAGGATCTTCTTCAGAAAGGGCGTATCCGCTTTTTGATCCGTCGGGGCATGAATGAATCCTGGGACCGGTACGCTCTTAACAGATGAGTGGCCGAAATTGATGTGTGTGTTTTTTTGAGTGCAAAGCATTGCTTCTGACAAAGTGCGTCGCACTGGAGGCTCCTGGCCTTGAGCCGTTTGACCTGAAAGGCAATCTGACTTCCAAAATGCAATCCGCAGGACTCAAGGAAAGGAATCTGGTGATAGGGGGGTGACCACGGCTCGGAAAGGGGGGGGGGGTTGGGAAAAAGCACTTTGCAGCTCGTTTGAAGTGTTGTTTTTTCTCCACCCCGTGTTATGCTTGCAACCCTGGACTGGAGAAGAGCTACGCGCGTAAGGGGGGGACCTGAGATGGATCCAGACACAAGTCATACATCTGCCTCCATTTCAAGAAGGGGCTCAGGCAATCTTTGGGCACATGGAAAGTGGTTGCGGCAAGTTGGACCCAATCGTGTGGAGCAGTTCGACAGGTTTTCTCCCCCTTGTCCTCATTGTTTGTATGTTCCTCAGGCTTGTCAAAAGGAGAGCCTTGCTTGAGCATGCTTCCCACAGCAGGCTTTTGAGCCGAACCCTCCTGGAACCCCTTCTGAGGACCTTCCTTGTTTTTCTCCCTCAAAACGAAGGAAACACATTGCTAGACTTGCCTTATCTTTTTGTGTTTTTCTGTCATTTTCCCTTAGCATGCTGCCGACCATGTCCATGCGGGAAGCAAGCAGTTCGCAGCTAGGGGTCTAATCCGGCCTAGCTATGTTCGTGCGCCACGGCTAGGCGCAGAAGTACATCCGCTGCGCGGCAGCATGCGGGTCATTTCGGTTGCCCTCTGATAGGTACCCTGATCACTCCCTCAATTTGCAGGTGCTGATCTGTTGAGTTGGGAACTCCCGACTTTTTCTGAGTAGATGTCTTCATCATTTTGGTAAGGCCCAAAAGTTGGAACTTTTCCTGGCGAGTCGTCTGAGCAGGTCAGAGCGGGGAACAGCGAAACGCCCGTAGATTGCTTTTATTCTTGGTTGACTTGCGATGCTTCGGGCATCCAATGTACCTGCCTTTGGCACGCCTTTTACAGCCTCGCCTGCCCTCGAACATCAGGCCTTTGTCAGATTAGGATTTTGGAACAGCCCGGCCCAGTTCAATGAATGGCTAATTACCGCAGATTCGTTTCCCAAAATATTTGTCGTACTGGTGTCCTTTTCGTTTCCCTCTTAACGCCAACAAAGGAGTCCTCAATTTGAGAACACCACCCCCCAAAGCCTTACCACCAGTTGAGTTGGCAAACTTTCGTGATTTGTGCAGAGGCCCAATAAGGAACATCTCGCTTCTGACCAGTCTGAGCCTGTCATCCAGAGCGGTCAAGCGACAGGGCCGATTTGGGTGGACGGGGCGTCCGAGGCTGCGATCTTTGCACAATGGCTGTGGGCAACACCTTCGACTCGGTCCGGGGAAGGGTCGGGTGGAGGGGTTGGGCCTTTTCTTTTGCTGGAAGAAGAGCTCGTGGGAACCCAGTTGATTCACAACCTCTTAGTTGATTGCAGGGAAAGGACTCTGCTTCCAAGTCTTTGAACCCCCTAGAGGGAGTCGAAAGAACACCCCAATTTAGCAGAGCCAGATGAACATCCGTTACGTTCTACTTCGATACGGTCCAACTTGACCCAAAAAGTATTCGGCAAAGAACCAACTCTGTTACCCCAGACCTCCCGCGGCTTTGGTTGTGGGTTTGCCTGCCAAATCAACCGACCACAAACTGAGCGGCCTCTCGGCCTTTCTCCCTTCGGATTTCCTCTGGCCCGTCCTTCCCTTTGCCAGGTAGGGACCAGCTTTACAGAGGCTTGGCATTGGGACGCCGGAGGGGCATGGGGAAGTGGTCGGCAGGGGTTCCGTTCAAATTGCTCAGGGTGCCAACTAGACCTGTTGACTCAACCGTAGGGTGCCCAAAACGCCAATTGCTGCACTTTCAACCATCTAAAGATGAACATGCCAGAGGGCATTCTGTGCAAAGGGCAATTACCCGTGTCGCCAGCTGATTCATGTGCGTTTGGTGTTCAAGACTGGAACGGCCGTCTGCCTAAGGCGTGCAGGGTTGCTGGCCTATGTTTCTGCATTGAGAACCGGGTATGTGTTAAAGATTGGGATTTGGACCCAAACACATGTATTTGTTTCTGTTGGTTTCCGAGCAAACCAAGCTGCAGAAGGTACCCTCAACAAACACACCCAACCACAGCATCAGGTTTTACCAAAGTGGCAAACCTCAAGGGTGCAGGATGAACGTGTTGAAAAATAGACACCGAGTGGAAGGGAAACAACCCTTTGGTCTTGCCTTGTCAGTCACTTGATTTATTCGGTCTGTTTTTAGTAGGGCAATGCTAACCTAAAAGGGATGTTCACAAGGGCTGAGCACTCGCAGCAATACCGGTTGGCCCTATGGGGACCCTTGTGCTGACCACGTTTAGGAAGTCACCCACCTTAGTTTCTCAGTTCCCGGACTCCATGTTTCTCGAAAGAGCATTTTGGCGGAAATCAATTAGGTTCGAGTTTACAACTTTCTGAGGGGAGGGTTCTCTGTGGGAGGGCCCCGGGTGCGTGCATTGGAGGGTGCGTGACTTAGTCTTTTCCCTCTCATATAAACGTCTTGACGAGTGTTTTGAAGTACACCCTGCCAAAAGGTTTTCCCCAGCAAGGTTGGGTAACCCCTTTGCTCAAGCATGTTTATGCCGCCTTTTGAACCGATTGGGTCCAGAGCTGGGTTTCCATCGGTTGCGCTTGGGCCTCCAAGTGCCAGGACGACGTGTACGACCACATCGAGAAGATTTGCAATGCGGCGCTCTCGGAGTTGCTGGGTCGGAGGAAATTGGCATCTCTCAAACCAGCGACTCTTCTTGCAGCCTTGGTATGGCCACGATCAAAACACACTTTTTTGGGGGCTGGTAGACCGGGTCATGGATCCCTCGACCGGACATTTAGTGAGCTATGACAAGGAATCCCATGAAGGGAAGCATGACAATGACCCACCGGGTGACGATGGCGCATGTGGCCCCTAATTCAGAAATTTGCTTCCCAAGTCCAAAAAGTGTACTTCTAGAGGTGCTGCATCCAGTCCAGCGAGCCTTTTGGCTTATATTCGTGCCTCTTTGTTTTTTCGCAGTTTGGCAAAAGCCACCAAAACATGAGTCCCCCCTCTTTGTCTCATGTTTCCCTTGGCCACCTGGAAAAGTGGGTTGGGGGCTGAAAGCTGGGGTTGTAACCCACAAAAGACACGGGACATTTCCTCAAAGATTTCCACTTTGGCCATTCGAAGCATGGATTCCACCAGACCAAAAGGACACCGACGCTTACTTTGGGGGTTTGCTCTTGGAGGCGCCAAGGAAAAAAGTGCTGCAAATGGACAATCCTTCTTGGAAAGGTTTTCGAAAGAACAGCCTCCAAGAAGGAAGTGTGGTGAAAAACAGTCGGGCCCAGATTGACGACCTCTATGCCAAGCATGAGCTGATAGAGGCCGGGTGCTTCAGAACCCCTAATCCTGAAGGCTTTTGGGTTTCAAGTTGGTTTTCCTTGAGGCTGGTGGAAGTTTGGGCGGAGTGCTACGTTCCTTGTGTCAAATGGCAAATCCTTTGGTTGACTCCCTGAACTGGCTTCAGCTTACCCCTAGGCAAATGCAAAAGTGATGCATGTTTAGCAGCGTATATGGAAGCATGGCTTGGTGCACTGGACCCTGCTCTGTTGCCAGACTTGGCTTATTTGTTCTTGCCTGTGAGTGCAGGTGTATTTGGATTTTTGGCCTTATCTGGGCAGTGTTATTTTCAGACTTGCAGTGGCTTGCGTTCCGACAAAAAGGAAACTTTTAGATTTTCCCGCGGCGCGGCCAAGCGCTTTCAAGTTTGCGCTGCGAACTTGCATTTTCTGTCTCACCTTGTGTGAGGTTTTCTCTCTGAACATCTTTGCTCTGAGGTGGAATTTTGTGTTTCGTGTTGCTGGAACACGAGCAAAGTGTTGCAAGCTGCACAAGCAATGCGCAGGAATGGACACACCGCAACCTTCTGCCTGGAGATTTTCCCCATGTTCCCTTTCAAGGCAGCAATCAAACTTTGCCGGTCAGTCAAAAGTTTCGGATGGCGTTCCGCCCGACACAGAAACAGAGGCACGTGTATGTTCGTAGTAGGGTTGCTCTGACCTGCTTTGGCCTCTTACCCCCTTGAAGAAGACAAACGTAGACCAAAAGGGGAAGGGTGGTTCGCGGGGTGGTGTTTTTGGAGGGTGGTGGGAGCAGTTTCATGAAGTTTTCCGCTGTTTTTGTATGCCAATCGAACGGGTCTTCGGAGCAGCCATGGGGTACAAAGCACCTAGTTTAATCCAAGGGGTCACCAGACTCCAAGGCATGACCTGAGGCAAGCCTTCGCGCCAAGCACAAAGTGAAGCGCGGGACAAAGAGAGCAAACACGAAGCAACTGAATAAACAAGTCCCTTCCCCAGTTTCTGGACTTGACACTTTTTGGGTCTTGATCAGCTTGGCAAAGAGCAAGTCTAGTTTTTTTCTGGCAGATCCACTCAGGAAGTGAGACAAACAGGATGAAGTTGATAGACGCTGCAAGTGTAGTTCTGACAAAAAACAGGAGACACCCCCCCATTTAAACGCCCGGTTCCCTTTGATTCCCCTTGTTGACCGCACTTTGTGGGTACCAGAGCATGCACTTGGATGAAACCCAGCTTTTTCAAGCCGCTGGGCTTGCGGCTTGCCATGGGCTGGCCGGCTGTCGCCTTCGCAGGTGGGCAAAACCTGGAAGATGGTGGAGGTCTGCAGTTTGGCAAAGCCAGAGTCGACACACTGCAAACGTCCGGATGAGAATGCGGGGTGGTTCCAAAGGGGAATTCGCAACTTAAGGCCGTTCTTCAACCAGAATCACAGAGGAGTTGGAACGGTGGTTGCATAACCACCGATGTGTTGTCCACCAAGGGTCCCCGATTGAGATTCTAACGAACTTCCTAAACTACAGCACCCTTCAAATAGTGGGATTTCCGTTGTTTCCCTTTTAAAAGACATGCGCGAAGAGCTTCCTTGCTTTGGTACACGCGCAAGGGTTTCCCGGTCTCAACTCTTACTCCGCTGCAGACGACGAAGATGGAACCCCCAAGCCGCCATTTTGAGATTAGTCTTGCTTTTGCGGAGCCCGCTTTTGGGTTCCATGTCAAGTTGAAGGGCTGTGCGGGAATGAGGTTGGTCTGATTCCTCTTATGCGATGCCGGAGCAGCTGTCCGCTTGCTTGACTGCTGCTTGGGAAGGGCCGCTTTTGCCATTGGCATCGCAGTCCGTTTCCCACTGCGGCCTTCACTTTCTGGTTTCGGTGTCCGGGTTGAAATGCCGAGTGAGCACGAAACTTGGAGCACCATTGGTCCTTTTTCCATAGGTGGACGTGATCACAGCGCATTGATATGGGCGTCTCAAAGATCAGAATTGCACCTCTGAACGGGGGGTGTTTCCAAAAAAAGGGAGCATCCAGAACTCAAATAGGGGTTGCCAGGTTGTCATTTCAAGACACCTTCCTTTTTTGGTGTCACGCCACTTCGCTGTCGCTGTGAGGTCTCGGACACCACGAACCGGACGGCGCACGCAGTGAGATGGCAGTCCCATGCCATGAAGGACGCCTTCTCGGCGCGTTTGGTCGTCCTTTTCTTAGGCGGGTTGTCCAAATCAAGAAAAGGCACCTCCAAAGCACAGAGTTGGTTGGTTCCTTTTTGGAAGGGGTTTACCTTTAACAGCAGCTGACCAAAAAAGGCCTTTTTGTCCACGGAAATCTGCCTGGGCTTCTGAGTGGATGATCGGCCAAGGCCAGCTTCAGACTAGTACCGAGGACCAGACCAATCATGGGGGTTGTTACTTTTGTGCAATTGACTTACAGGTGGATTCTTCAGATAGTACTTTGACTCGGAAATACCTGGTTGACATTGATTAATAGGGGGCCTTCCCACATAAGATGGGTCCTTCATTCTTTGGGAACACTTTCCAATGCATCTGCGAGGATAATCCGTCATCCGGGAAACCTACTTCACAATAGCTTTCGTGAATTTTAGGTGTCCTGCCACTTCCGTGGCTTTTTTGAGGCAGCAGCCACTCGACAGTTTTTTTTCTTTCAACAATGGACCTTTCTCTATGCCAGACCTTTCCCCCCATTCTTGGATTCATTGGGTGATTCCGTGATGTGGTGCGACTTCCAGATGCTGGGCGGCCTCTTCCCACCCACTGGTATTGTTAAGAGACGATTGGCGCTATTCGGCGCTATTTTATGCTGTGTGGTTGGTGAAGTGAGCCGCATGTGGGTACGTGTCAAGATAGGAGGAACCTTCGGTTTGCACTTCAAACCAGCCCCAAGCAAGGTCGCTCAAAAAGCACCTCCATGTCATGGCAAGGAGCTTTGTGACAACATCATCAGACCTTATGATGATGAGATCAAGGACCTCGGTGTCACGTTTCACCGGCACTGCTATGAAGCCCTGCGTGGCTTTCTTTGACGAAATGACCTTTCACTTTTTTTGACGTCCCCAACTGTGTTCTTCTGGCGACCCAAAAAGAACGGTACCTGTTCACTGGCTGAGACAGGAAGCGAACAGGTCTTTTTTCCGGTTGATGAGCTGAGTAATTGGCTTCCCAAGATTCTGGAAACCAAGAGCACTTTTTCCTCTGGGTTTCCTAGTTCTATGATCCACGCGCTATTCGAGTTCTAAGTTGTTTGCAGCACGCGCAGGACCTCTTTCTGAAGCGCCTCAAGAAGGGACGCAAGGCGGGTGAGGGACGGAGCGCGCACAGCCGAAATGAAGTTCGCCAAGGGTATGAGGGCCTGAATAACTTAATGGGGTGAGGTCGCTTTGAACACAGTTGTGCAGGGGTGCTTGCTGTTTCGCATGTGATGGGGTGTAAGTGCCACTTCCTTAGACCCTTCAGTTCCAAGTACAGCAAGAGAGAAGGACTGCCTCGGGTACTGCAAAATCTAATTGGGAGCAAAGTGTTAGACATGGAGCAACCGATGCTGGACCTTTGGCGCAGACAACTTCCCTTCAGTGGTGCCGGTGGGTTTCCCTGCAAAACGAACCAAGGAGAAAGAACAGGTGTGTGTGCGTGTGTGTTTCCCCGCGGCCGCTGGTGGTTTTGGGGTTCTGCGCCATCTCAGCACCCATGCTTCATGGGGGCTTGTCAAAATGAGGGACCCTGTTGGTATCCCCTTCAAAAGACGGCCATATGTTTGACAATTCACTTCTTTTGGGTGGCGCCTATAAAATATGGAATTACTCCGCGAGACATAGGTCAGACCGTCAAATTCCGGTCGCATTTCTGCGATCGGGAGATGTATTTGGCTGTCATGGTCCAGCTCGATTTATCGAGGGCTGACCGAAACACTGCTGCTGGGTCGAGTTCAATTGAGTTTCTCCTTGGGGTGATGTTTTCATGGGGAGACATATACAGAGGCGCGGGGAATCCACGAGGATGTGGTTCAAACAAAAGTGGCTGAAACAATTTTAAAGAAAGGTCTGGCCCAACCCCGAGGTGTGAGACCGTTTGGTGACACCCCTTGTCCTTTGAGCCAGAAGTCCGCCGCGCCGAGGAGGGCATGCGTGCGGAGGTGGTGGGCGCTGCGGGGTCGCCCAGCCGAGGATTTGAGTGGTAGGGATGGTTCCCCCCGAATCGATGCTTTGTGGGGGGCCATTCCCTGGATGGAATGTCATAGATGGATTGCTGATAGGTATTACCTGATGGGTGATGTAGGGGAATGACGGGGGATGGCCCTGAGAAGGGTCATTCCTGGCGGGAAATGTAGCGGGAGTAGTGTATTCAGCGGTTTCTCTTTGCTGGCTGCATTCTAGTAGCACACATAGCACACATAAGAGCAAATACCCTCCAATACAGCACGCTCGGCGCGTGTTGCTCCAGAACCACGTGACACAAAATCAAACCGAACAGGTGGCTAGATCAGAAAAGGGGCTTCTACTGCAGGAACTGGGCGGGGGTATTGAGGGTCAACATTTGTTCAAACCTCAGCAGGCTTCGGGTCATTTCAGTTAGGAACACAAGGGCCTCTATGAAATGCATGCCCCATGGGTTTGACAACGGGCTCAATCAAGCAACAGGGCTCGATGTTTGACCCACGCCATGACAAACCCCTACTCTGGTTTCAGCCGATTTTGTAAAGGAGTCCAGGTTCACCAGGCCATGGCTCTTTGGACCCAGGCTCAATTTGCGGTTCGTGACATGGGGTGTATCGCAACGAGGTTTACACACCCTAATTTTCCCATGTGTCTTTCGGGCCATGGGCCTTTTTGACCTGTGGCCCATGCATTTCGGAGGCGGCGCGGTGACACACCCATCCGTTTTTGCTGGAGCCGCTGCGCAGAGCGGGGAGAGAGTGCGAGGCTCAAGCTGGAAAGACTAGGCCACTTGCCAAACATGTGCATGGGTCCATTCAAACGTCCTAGGGTTTGTTGGGGAATGGTCACAGCCCAGACCGAAGCGGGGCCCTTTGCTCATGGGCATTTTCGGTCCAATTCCTCCAGGCCGCGAGGGACCTATGTCCTTCATCTTGCAGCCCCCAACTTTTGAAGTCTAGAGCTATCTGAAAGGGGACGTCACTTTGGTTTGCCACTGGAACATGCGTACAAACACTTATAGACAATTACCACAGTGACACCAGCGGACGGCCTTTCGACGGCAACCTTCATCTAGCTCAGCATTCGATGTCATTCCGATCTGCTTTGCTAGGTGCAGATTCGTCATATCCCAATGAATCTACACTTCCTCACTATTCCTCTTTGTGGTCTTCCAACTTGTTGCGGCCATTTTTTGGTGAACAGACGCGAGTCTGGACTTTGTTTGAACAGCCCACGACCCAACCATTTGGACACACTGTCACAGACTGAATCTTTCAATTGCCCCTTTTGAAGGGGAGGGGCACCCCTGATTTCACAGAACCAACGAGCCGGATGTTTGTCCCAGTCAAAGTTGTGACCCACCAAAGAGAGTTACGAGGGTTACCATTGGAAGAGGATCTGTTGGAAGCGCCCCGGGACTCAGAACTCATGAAACGCCCGGAGCCGGGAGCGGATGGACCCGATGGCGAGGAGAAAGCAGGCAGACCTGAGAGGGAGAATAACCTCGGAAACGATGGAAACCGCAGGAACGCTGGAAAGACCCATGAAGAGCCACAAGGTTTTGGAATATGTCCGGGTTGCTGGTTTCTTGGGTGTAAGGTTCGATCGGAACAATTCTGAGAATTGCCTTTGAGGTTCCTTCCGAACCTTTGCTGGGCGTTGTGCGGGTCCCAAACGGGGGAATCCTTAGGGCCCCAGCTCCCTTCGGACACAGACAAACAGCGAGTACCCCGCATTCAGAGGATTTGCGCCCGCACCTGCAGGGCGGGGGTTAACTGTTCAACCGAAGCCAGGTTGCTCCAAGCGTTCTCAAAGATGAGCAAACCCCTCTCCCCCCTCCCTCCCCCCCCCAAAAAAATGGTAAGAGTAGGGGGCCTGGGGGGTGGTCTGTTGATGGTCCCCTGTTATGTTTTTTATATTCATCTCAAACCTATTAACCACCTTATTCGTTTTTAAAAGAGGGTTTTTAGGGAGCTTATTTATCGTTTTCGTTAAGGTAATCATTTGGGTAAATTGTCGCCTTGTTCATTGTTGGGCTGGGGGCCGACATTTTTTTCATTTGAAAGAGGTAGCCCTTTTAGTAGTTATCAAGTTCTGGGATGTTGGCGGTGCTTTTGTTTTGTTAGTGTTTTTCTCACTAATTTTCATTTATAGGTTAAAAGTTCAGTATAATTATAACATATAAGATTTTACATGTTATTATTATATTATGATGATAATTTCAGTTCAGGATAATAATTTAATTGATTTGTCTTACTTCTTTCATACATCATTTTAAAAATCATATTGACATCTCTCACTGTATTCTGAACATTAAACTTTTTACTTTCAATAAATCATTTATATTTTCTTTAACATCTTCCCCTTTCTCTTGACTATAGCCCAACATCCATAATATATCATCAATCATTTTATATTTTTTCTTACTGATTTTAAGAAACTGTTTAACACAATCGTAAGGTGGTATTTTATTTACAGTTAGAAATATTAAAATCTCATCTTCTACATTTCTATTATGTATTCTTTTTATTCCCAACAGACATTTGATTAAAAATTGATTATCTCTCCAAGTTTTACAATTTTTACATATGTCTTCTTCACCATCCATTGAATAATTAATAATATTATTCACTATTTCATTAGGTAAATTCAATTTATACAATTCCATATTTTCTTTTTTGAAGTGACAACAATCATAGCATTTTTTATTGATATAATTATTGATTCCATCACCGTTCATTTTTCTCTTAATATATAAGGTAATACTTCTTTAAGTAGTTTTGGCTAGGGGGTTGCTGGTCGGCTGGTCTGGGTTTCAGGTTTAATTTAAATGTCTTAACCTTCTTGATAGATTATAAAGCAATGTTTAATCATATTATAATTAAATATTATGAATAAACAAACATCATATTTCATAATTATTAATTGTATGGATTTCAAATTTGATAAAGTCTATCATCACAAGTGGTCTATTGACTTATCTTATTGTACCCTTTATTTCTTTCACCATCTTTTCAATTGTAATTAGGAGTTCTTCTTTACTTTTCAAGGTATATTGATTGGATGGCATATTACATTTTCCAATAACTGAATCATAATTAAGTTTTACTCTAACATGCATTTTAATATTTATTTCATTGCTATATCTTATTAGGTTCATAAACTTTTCTGATGGGTTCAACGCGTAAGAAAACGCCTTATCGCCTTTTAACTTTTTGTTGTGTATCTCGTGGTTATACGTTGTAATTGACTTTTCTGGAGTTTTACGTCGACTGACTACATCATTACTAATAGAAGGTTTCCATTTCCTTTGTAATTCTCTTAGAGCATCACATTGTTTCAGTCTTCGCCACCCTTCACTACCATTAATGTAAGTAGTGATGATTGAAACTAAACCTTCAGGTAAGCTAGCACAATTCTCAACCATAAAATTATTCTCTGACATTTTACCCTCACTCATTTTTCTCTTTATATATAAGATAATATTTCTTTAAGTAGTTTTGGCTAGGGGGTTGCTGGTCGGTTGTTCTGGGTTTCAGGTTTAATTTAAATGTCTTAACCTTCTTGTTAGATTATAAAACAATGTTTAATCATATTATAAGATAATAATATTAATAAACAAAAGTTAATTTGACCCGTATTCAATCACACCAGCGATACAACTACTATAACAACTCATACTATACTCGCAACAATAATGCTCGTATCCTTTTATTAATTGGTCTGTGTAAATTTCAATTAATTCGCTAAGAATATATCTCATATAATAATTGTTATTTCTATATGACCACCAACTGTTTAGTTTTGGAAAGCTAAACCCACAACGTTTAATATTTTTTACATCTTCAATGTTAAGACATTTTCTTAAACTGATACAAATTTCATTTTCATTATTCTTACAGTATGATTTTAATGCTTGATAATACATTTTTCTATTTTTAAACCGTTCTTTAACTTCTTGTATATCAAATACTCGGTCAATGTGTTTTCTGTAATGTCTTATTTTTATACTATATTGGTTTTCTGCTAGTAGTGTAAAAACATTATTTTGCATTAGTTTAATAACTTGTAATTGAAGTTCTGCTTTTTCCAGTCCTTCTTCAGGAATGTCTTTATTTCTCATAAAATGTTCTTCTTCATCCATCAAATACCAGCAATCAAAACATGTTACTCTAATATAGCCACCTATAAGATTACACACATCAACAGGTAAACTATTAGCTAGTGCCACGACAGACTTACATTTTTTATTTTTACAAGGACAATTATCATAATTAAACAGTGTCATTTTTTTCTCTTACTATATTATATCCATTTTTCTTTAAGTAGTTTTTATTTTATGTTAAGGGGTGGAGGTTTATATTGAAAAACTTTTTTCTAACAACTGAATATAATGGTGAGATTAACAAAAGACCAAATAATCAGCAACATCTATTACGACTTAGACGAGGGTTTCGGAAGCATACAAGCGACACACAAGAAGGCAAAGGAAGAAGACCCAACAATAACATTAGACGATGTAAAGTCTTTCTTAAAGAAACAACCAAATAAACAAATCAAAAATTATAGAGGTACTAATTCCTATACCGCTCCATTCGCACGATATGAATATCAAATAGACATAATGCATATGTCACCTTTAGCAAAAGACAAGAACGTTCCACAGTATGCTTTAGTCGTGATTGACATCTTCAGTAAATTAGCAGATGTAATACCGATGGAGGAAAGAGACGGAGAGCACGTTTTGAAGGCGTTGAGAGCAAGCTTTAAAAAGATGGGTTATCCGATGTCCGTGTATTCTGATGACGACGGAGCGTTTGCAACTAAAAATCAAGTTCAGGATTTCTTCAACAGTGAAGGAATAAACCACATCGTCACGAAGACCCACGCAAATGTAGCCGAGCGTTTTATTAGAACGATGAAAAACAAAATTCACGATAGAGTTAGGTTTAACAACATGAAATGGACCGACGCCCTAACGCCAGCATTGAAACAGTATAACAGCACATCACACTCATCAACA